TATGAAATACAGATGGCGCTTTTCTTCGTGTTACCCAATTTTAGGCCGAAGATTGGTCTCTATTTCAGTATGTTACAAAGTACTCTGTGGAATAATGACATCTGGCAAAGGGGGCATGACGTAAATGTCCGTGATTCAGTGTTGCACTGCTACTATGGTAGGATACTGATTTTCTACTTAACAATAAATATTAAAAACAGATCTATACACACCAGGCCAATGGAATCATCCTACTGTACAGGCATAGTGTAAACCAGCCATTACACTGCACTAGAGCCATGTTATTAAAATGCCCATGTTTGATTTGTAAGTAAACAATACTTTTACATGATTTTTATATAGCACATAAAGTTAAGTCTTTATTGCTTGCTTGTTCTGTCTTACATAATACTGGATAAAACTCTATGTAATTGGTGAGACAGTTAATAAAAACAATACAAATTTAGTATATAAATAATTAATTTATGCAATAAATATCAATATAAAAACAAAGATACCAAATCAGCCTTTCAAGTACTAATACAATTTTACACTTGTACAACAGACATAGAAACTCTAATAATGAAGATAAAATGCATGAAACGGGAATGTTGTTTAAAAGGCAACATAAAAATATGATATAAAAAATGCTGAATGATATTGGACTAAAACACTACTTACCCCTCATATAAGCATTAGTTACAACCAAGCCAGTGATTAGGATATATACATTGTTTCTATGACAGTTACAAAATGTAATAATATATAAACCTTTTGTTTATAAAACTAATCAAAATCCTTGCCACTAAATTGATGATAGCTGTGTAACTGACCATCATAAGGAAGCGCCCTTCGACTCACTTTAACAGGTGTATTAGGCTTAAACAGCATTGCTAAAAGTATATAAAACCCACCAACAATTTTGCCAAAAAAGTCCAAAATACCTAAGAACATAGGAGTGGAGTTTTTAACAAATATAGAAATTTCTCTTATTAATGCTAATATGAAGTTACCAAGAAAACTAACAAAGGTTGTACTACCTGTGACAATTGCAATAGCAAATGCAATTAAAAATGTGAAAAACTCCTTGACATTTGTTATTGATAAGGCCCTTTTAATACTGGTAAGCAAATCATTGTAAGATTCTTTTAATGATACTACACTGTTATCTAGAATGTTCTCTGAGCTTTCAACATTTTTCTTTACCGATCCCGTGAGAATCGGTTCCATCTCCAGATAAGCATCAGAAATATGCCTTATGCATTTTAATGTCAGAATAACTTCGTTTTCTCTAAACCTGACACTTTTAATTTGAAACCAAAAAGCCCCCAGAGGTTGATCATCAATCTCCGTCCAAATACAAACGCCACTGGAGATTCCAATTTTTTCTGCAAATGTAACTCCAATCCAAAGTCCATTGGAAAATATGCTTCTCAATTTGGCTTCCGCTTCTAATAAATCTCGTTTCAATTCGGTTTCGGCAGGACTCAACAGTACAATATCGCGGTAGCAGCTAAGTTGATTGTTTAATCTCCTTTCTAAGTAACGACCAAGGAAAATACGAGATTTTAATAAATCTTTAACGTACTTCTTGACCGCTACAACTTCGGGATCCTCATCACAGCCTATTTTTGATGACGCAGCTGATGTATTTAAAAGACTTCGCCCTTCGCACATCATTTTAAATTTAGTTATTGACTAAATACAAAACACACACTCTGTATAAAATGTAAAATAAAATATTATGACATTATCGTAATGTGTCATTTAAACTTCATTTTTGATATTGACAAAAAGAATAAATGTTGCTAGATAGGTTATAATTAGCACCTACCAAAAAACTATTCCACCAAAGTTCCTGTAGCTGTAGTGTTTTATGTCACAAAAACGAGCGCTTTTAGTGGGACCTAAGCACAAGCTGTGACCTATTCATTCATATCGTCGTCTTATGCCAAATCCTAGTGGCATTTAGCGGCAACAAAAGGCCCACTTCAAACTTGGACAGTTTTACAGGCCAGTCATAGATTGTATGGACTCAATTATCTAGGTTAAGTTTTTAATTAAATATTAACAGTTATTTTTTTATGAACTGTGCCACTGGTGGCTATCGGGATGTAGGGATGCAGGGTCGAGGGTCATTCCCGTAAGCGTGTTTTCTTTACAACCATAAAATATAATTCTTGTTATAAAGGCAAATGAAACAGCTGTATTTATACGTAAAAATTTGTACAATTTATTAAACTTAAATGATACAGAGAAATGTAATAATCTACCATAGAGGTAGTAAATTGTGATCTTAATATTTACAAAATTCCTATCTATAGATGTTTTAAATGTCGACAACTACAAGCTTGACAATCATAATACTCTATTTCAAACGAACGCATAAAATAATCGGCACTTTTTATAGAAGATTGCATTACAACTATTTATATTTTTTATCGAAAATGTAATGGAAATTGACAGAAAATTAATTCATATCTAATTATATGGATGTCGAAAATAGTTATGGTAATTATCAATTAATTATAAACAGTAGCAAAAATATTTTGAAATAAACGTCTTTAAGCAATTATTTAAAAATTTTGTTGCCATTTTAACTAAATATTGTAACAGAAATTAATGTGACAATAAATACTAATAGTTTAAGTAATTATTTAAGAATGACTGTTAACAAAACAATTTTAACAGGAAGTAAAAGATTCCTTGCAAATAATTTCTGATTTCTATAAATGGATAGGTATTTTGCTAGAAAATGGCAACTTTTGCTTTGTTCCGAATTTCGAATCACTACCGTCAGCATCAAAATGACGAAAATCAAAGGCACAATTAAGTGGTATTTTGTGCCCATTTGCTCCTTATAGCCTATCCATTTATTAAAATCAGACATAACAGACTAGAGAGGAATGCAATGCAAAGGCTTGTCTTACTATTTTCCTTGTTGGAACAGCGAGTGGTTAAATTATACCGTATTTCGTAGTTTCATTACCACCGATTTCAAAATATTTTTTTCACATTGTACTAACACACTATCTTCGGACTTAGGTTACAAGTTATGGTGAATTTTCATTCACATTTCATTTATTTTTCAATACAATGGAGAAATGTAATTCATAAAGATATAATTAATACTTAAAGAACAAAGAGAAACTATATACTCTCGAACAAATCAACATTATAATTTAGAAATATATATTTAAATATTCAAAATAACTAGCCTTGTAAAATACATAAAGAATTGACATAATATTTAGTAACGACTAATGTACGCTTTGCACTTATTTGTTTAGAAAATATGTTACTTAAACTGTAATTAAGAAATGGTGTTTTACTTATTAGCATAAGAATTTATTTACGCAGTAGAATATAGAGAAAATTACTCTAATAAATTTTACAATACGAGAATACTTTCTCAGAGAGACGGACTTAAAACCTGCAATAAATATGAATAAGTGCTAAATACATTATAAGATTATATTTTAACGATTTCCAGTACTTTGCAATTACAAATGATACATGGAGAAATTCTTCAATACTGTGGAACATTAAATCTACTTTTTCACGGGATTATCATTGAAAAATACGTAAATCTTATTTAAGCTATTGCTACAAATAATGCATTTGTGTTGTATTATTGCAACACAGAGGGCATTGGAGTAACGAAGCGGGCTTTGTATATCTGCCAAATGAAATTGAATCTAGTATTTGTAAAAAAATGTAAATTGCTTCATGAAAATTTTTGCATTTCTTATAAAAAATAATTATTAGAGTAATACAGTACTATTGTATTTTAGGATATTCAAAGAGTATTTATGGGTCACTTGCAACATTTGAATGCCCTTTAAATTACAAATCAATCTGCGGCTAAACAAATACCACAAAGATTTTTTACGAAATTTAATTTGAATCGTTTATTAGAAGCAAATAAAGGATAATTATCCTTAACAGTATTTTATTCAATTATGTTTTTAAAGGTAAACATTTTCAAGTTTAATTTCTACATAAAATTGATATTTTTGTTTATCGAATTAAAAATGAGATATCGTTGATTTAGAGATTCGCCTTAAGGCGTCTATTTAGGCCAAAACAGTATCAAAATTGAGAATCTATTCAAGAAAACTACAAAAAGCTTATTTTTTAATTCTCCATCAATGGAACGTCACACAGCCCAAAGGAGGGATTTTAAATTCCCTTAAAAAAATCCCCATTCTCATATTTAACTATCAATTTTACTCGATCAATTATATTCATAAAATTTGCAATAGCAAGCCACATATTTGTGGTTAAAGAATTTTTTTTTCTACATAATTGTCAAAGCCTGAATCATTTGAAAACGGCATAATATTTTAAATATTTGTACGACATATAGAAGTGACTTTGAAGAGTCAAAGGTCACATCGTACAAGGTCATGTCAAACATTTATCGATGTTAACATCGATTATACTTGGGTATATCGATTTCTACTCATAGCAACTTACTTGACGATGAGGAATCCATGCACACTCGACAGGAACTTATCGAAATTATCCTGGAATCTTATCTTGTGTGGTCTATAACCGTCAAAGAGAACTCCATTAGTTAGCAACCTGAAGGCATCTTCCAATCTCGGTACATTAGTTGGATCGTTAGCTGCAAACGCGTCTATCACTTGTCTTGCTAAACCTTCTAGAAGAGACGGTCTTACACACGTTAAAGAGTAAATCGCAGCACCGGCCGCCGGAATAGAATCTGGTGGTATTTCCATTTTTAATATTAACATTAGTAATAATTGAGCCAAGCTTAATAATGCGACTGAATATCTGTTGTCCTCGCCCATAGTCTGCGCCCTGTTGGACAGACCGACTATAGTCTCGCAGCAGAGTGTGGACACGTCGCTGGAGACTGCGGTCAGACCGATGCGCAGAGCAGCGATCACCATGTTGAAATCTTGTATCGGTAGATTTGTTAACTGAAAAACAAAACAATATATGTTAATAAAATACTACATCGCTGGTTGTACTATTAATTAAAGAAACCTTAAAACCTTCCTTTTGTCACATTTCTCCAAAGTTCTAGTACACCAACCACCTATTATATTGGTAACAGCAATCGCAGTATATTTTTGAATAATTCTTTTTTTAATAAATAGCCCTATATCAAAGAGATGCTTTAGGCTTTATATTTTCACGCTAATTTAGAGTGCATGAATTAAAAAAAATGTCATTCGGGAAAGAGAAAAAACTACAAGCCAATAGCAGCAACGAAGCAATATTGCCATGGTAACAGTAATAATTAGGCAACATTAATAATTAGAACATTTTAAGATCGTACTTTAAAAGTCATGTATGCGCAAATAGGAACGTTTTAATGTAGTCTGCACTAAGCAATCGTTGTTTCACTCTTCCACATGCTATCAGTTCTCCGCTATGCTATCCTAGTACCTCATCAGCCTGCTCCAGGTCTCTGAGCAGTCGGAAGGCGGAGTGCGCGAGGGTGGGCAGCGCCAGCAGCGCCGGCGTCACCAGCGGCAGCAGCAGGCGCAGGCCGCGCGCGCACCCGCCACCCCCCGCGCCTCCCGCACCACACGACAGCCACCGCACTAGCTGCATCAGCGCTATGATGTCCTGATACACAACAAACATCACCATCAACCATCATCATCACCTCCTTTCACACTGTAGGGTCTCCAGATAAATCTATCATCCGTCATCACTTGGACTGCGAGAATCCATTCGTCATTTAATAGTTGATATATTTATAAATCGACATCCTAAAAGTTTCATTTTAACCAGTGAGGGGCAACAGCACGGTAAAGTGACCATTTTTATAATTTTGGTTTTGTTATCAAGATGGGACAATTTCGATGAAGTTGGGAATTTTTCACTTACTGGTAACTATAAAACTAGTAGCCCCCTGTCAATGACAAAAAATGCTTTAAGGTCCTTGTAGGTCTATACTGTCTATTATGTGTCTTATTTATCAACGAAGAATGACAATATATTTTCGGAGATTCCAATAGTGAAAATTACTAGAATAAGGACGTACATCGTAAGCTTCCTCTTCTACATCTTGAGGTATGCTCGAAATCTTGCCAGAGTTCCATCGAGCGTAAACTTCGAAGGTCGTGTGACATATATCGACGAATCTGTAACAAAATTTAAGTAAAATCATGACATCTATATCTATATACAAATACTAATATAATAAAACGTAAAAAGTAATAATTCTTTCTTTAATATAGATGCCCTACTATAGGCAATATATTTTCACGCTATTTAGTTTTAGGGGTCAATAATTTGAGTAAAATATATATGTGAGAAAGTGACACAAACTGCAAGCCAAGCAGCAAAAAAGTAAGATTATGGCAAAATATTGCTATCCAATGTCAAAGGCCTTCGTTATTATTTATTGCATTTGAATTTTAACATTTGCAATTGAAAAACAAATGTAAACAATAAAACAAAGCTTTTATAATATGCGAATGAAACCTCACGGGAATAGGTATTTTTGAACATTTTCTTAATAAAATGTATACTTGAGGCAGGTTTAGGCTATATATTCACGCTATTTAATTTAAGGGGTAGATTAATTAGAAAAAAATACTGCATAAAATGGGGAATCATGCTAACAAAGTTTGCGGGCAACAGCTCGTATTCAATGGCAGACACAGGGGGGAGAGTCATGACCCCCCTTGAGCTGGTCGGTCAATATATGTACATATTTTGTCAAGCTCTTGTCTTGACTACGACTATGTGATCCCCCCTAGCGACGAAGCTGGATCCGCCCTTGCTCGTAATAACATAAATGTTTACTTATTAACGGTGTCCTGGTTTTGGCAGTGCATGGCGTGCTTGGCGGACTTGGCGAGCAGGTTGAGCGCCGGCAGCACCACGGCCGCGTAGTTGTGGTACTTGAACACCACGCCCGGCACCTTCTCCAGCGCGCTCAGCACCATGCGCACCTGCTCGTCCATGCTCGACATCTGCTAACACGTACACGGTGGTGCTAAACGGACGGAACACAAGCTAGGAGGTAGAAGAGAGTGAGAGAGAGAGAGAGATACATACATACATAGATATATATATGCGAGGTTACATATACATGAGAGGTTATCTACGCCTTTGATCCGTTAAAACTACCCAGTATATTTAATTATTACTATTTAAACAGACAGTATTTTTTTTAATAATGAAATTTAATCTTTACTAGGTTGAGAACTTCATTTTTTATTTTTCTTTCGTGAAAACCTTAACAATTTTCGCGATCAAAAGTAGCCTTTGTTTCTTCAAGACTATCCACTACACCTTTGACAAATTTCATCGAGATCCGTTCAGCGGGTTAGGTTAGGTTAGGTTACATTTATTATTACAAAGCTACGTCATCAGTGAATAGCATAGAGGAAGTCGCGACAGCTAGTACAATAAACGTCACCTCCAGCATGCCCTCCGCGATGCCGCAGTAGCAGTCGAGGGTGTCAGCGAGCGCGGCGCGCAGCGGCTCCGTGTCCTGCTCCGCGCCCAGCAGCGCCTCCAGCCGCTGCTGCAGCGCCGCCGTGCTCGCCACCAGGCAGCTGCGGCCCGCGCCTGCGCATACACCCTCATCATCCTTATCCTGCTCCCGTAGTGGCGCAACAGGTTTGAAAGTAGTAGAGCCCGCTTTAACATCTTTGCACGAATGGGCCGGCTCGCCCGGTGTAATACCACGACCACACAGATAACAGGCGTGAAGTGGAAGCAATTCCGCGTTTCGTCTGATAAGTGTGGTGCCGGAGGCCTAATTTAGTCCCTTTCCCTTTCCACCCTTTTCTTTAGAGCAAAGGATGGGAAGGAAAAGTGGATTTGACGGTGGAGGAGACGCATAGGAAGGAGAATTTTCCTCTTTGTGCGTCTCTTCCGTCAATTAAGAGTTGGCAACGCAACTTCAATTGCGGTTGTTTATGGGCAGCGGTAGCTTTTCATTTCAGTGGATTCAGGTGGCCGCTTGCTCGTTTGCCACCTTATATTATATAAAAAAAAAGTTTTCCTCCACACAACTCTATCATACGACATCTGTCATCTCTCCCTTTTTGATCATGTCACCTTTTACGCAAAACATCCATCTCTTTCTACCTTTACCTCTACCTATACCCTCTACAGCATTTATCATATCTATACTAATATAATAAAACACACAACTTCGTGGCGCAGGATTTCAGCAATACACAGCATATTTATGAAATATTAGCTTTCGCCCTCGACTCCGTCCGCGCGGATTAAAAAAAAAGGAAGTAGCTTATGTGTTTTTTCAGACTATCCTCTATTAGTAGTGCAATATTGCTTAAAACATTACAAGTTTACCTTCAGTATATGATGCAAGTCGGGCAAACACCTTATGCAGTTCTTTCCTGAGAGAGCCCGGCAGATTGTTCCCGGACACTTCCCACGCCACCAACGCTACGAACTCCTCGCAGTTCGCTAGCTGATTACGACTGTAAAAGCATATAATTATGGGATTATTGTAAAAGTCACATATAACGATATACAGTACAAAAATAAATACTGTTTTATAAAAACCTTTTTAAGGTAACAAGGCTATTGTAACAAAAAAAAATTATTACTATCTAACACAAGTAGAATATTACAATTGAAATATTGCCATGAAAAGTGAATTAATCTGCCGCCAATATTTGTTTAGATCAATACAAATATGTTGGTGGCTCGGAACATCGGCAGAGTAACGTCCTGAAACCCGTCCTGAAAGAAGAACGTCCTGGCTTAAAAACCTACGCCAGGGGAATGGAAAGAGCACCCGTTCACTTTTCAGAGCCGCGGCGTCAAGAACGAAAGTCGCCCTAATGATCGCCGAACTTCGGAAGATGGCACTTTAAGAAGATAATAGTGTACTATACATTTGAATGTGTGTGGTAGATGAGTAACTAACTTGGGGTAGGCATACGCGAGGTGCGCCAGCAGCTGCACGGCGTGGCGCGCGGCGGCGGGCTGCGCGGCCAGGTGGCGCAGCACGACGCGCGCGCGCCCCGCCAGCCGCCGCACCGCCCACGACGCGCACTCGCTCTCGTGTCGGAACGCGCACTCTATCACTGACGACATCTGTAACGTCACTCAAATTGTCTACCCGGCCGTCCACATACTTCTTTTTACATAAGGTGGCGAATCGGCCAAACTGACAAAGCGACCGCTGCGCTGTAGGCAACGCATTCGCAATAGCGATTTCCTTGCCTACCCTTAAGTGACGGAGAAGACACACATAAGAGGACGTTTCCCTATGCATCTCTACGTCAAATCTATGTTCCCTTCCCATCCTTTTCTTATAAGAAAAAGGGTGGGAAGGAAAAGGGACTAAAGTTGGGCCTCTAGCACCACACTTATCAGGCGAAACGCGAAATTGCTCCTACTTCACGAATGTTCTGTGTGGTCGTCGTATTACAACGGGCGAGCCGGCCCATTCGTACGATGTTAAAGCGGGCTCTACCACTGTTCTTCTACCCTACACTTAGTGATAGAACCCGCTTTAACATCGCACGAAAGCACTGACGCTTGGTACAACACCACGACTACACACGACATGAAGTGGCAATTCAGTGAGCAGTCTGATGAGTGTGGTGCCTGAGGCCTAATTAAAAACCCCTATCCCTTACCACCCTTTGTGAAAGTGGATTTGATTGCGGAGGAGACACAGGGAGGGAAAATATACTCTTTATGTGCGTCTCCTCCTCCATCGATTAAATTAAGCGGTCGCTTCGCCATTTTGGCGAATTCAGATGGTCGCTTGCTCGTTTGCCACGCCGTGTTTGTATGGGAAATCGGACTAGCCCCAATAAAACACGGAAAACTCTTCAATATTAATCAATTATCCCTCAGTGAAACATAATTTTTTTATAGTGAAAAAACTTAATCAGCCCAGTAGTTTTCGCGTTATTTCAATATATTCTAAAATCCAAAAATACATATCTTTCCTCTTTATAATATAAGTAATAGATATTTATTTACGTACTTCAGTGTAGTCGGCGGGGTCCAGCATTAAGTATGAATTGGCCCACACTTTGAGCAGCCAAGAAACGGTCGCGGAAAGTTCCGGACTCAGGACGCCGCCGAAGCCGGCTTCCAGCGCCGCGCACTCCCATTCATTTATACGTATGATTAAACCAATTAATCTGTAAATTAAATATTTAAAATATAAAATAAAATTATTTAATTGTCTTTTGGGTTATTCAATTAATCAAGTTGTAATTATTTACTAGCTATTGCTCGCGACTTCGTCCGCGTGATTCAAATACTAATAAAAACAGCTTATGTTAGTGATAACGTAACTTTTATTTCAACACATACAAAAGTTATAGAGGGTCTATGTTGTAGAAGTTTTGGGCTCTGATGGGAAGGGCACATATTATTTTTTTAAGTTATAGACGTTTTTAAGTTACCGTGGTTTGAGTTATTAGGTTCTACTGTATTAGTATAGAAAACATTAAAACTTTTTAAACATAGTCCAAAAAAGTAGCCTTACATTTTTCTAACATCAAAAAGTAGCTACAAAGCAAGTCTTCGATTTTTTTTTCTTATCAATTTATCAATGACCTTCAAGCAACAATTAGCATTTTAAATTCGCACAACAATTGATGTACGATCTCTTACACGCAGGAAAACATGTTAAAGGTCAAAAGAGACGGTCTATTACTAAAATAAGAAATAACGTTCACAGAAAACATATACTAGCTTTCACCCGCGACTTCTGCGTGAAATAAAATAAAGTAATTATCATGTGTTATTCCAGACTGTCCTCTACATTTATGCCGAATTCTAATAAAAATCCATCCAAACTTTCACATTTATAATATTAATAAGAAGTAAGAAATGAGATACTAAAAATTAAGATATGAAGTAAAATAGCATATACCTGCTTAGATTTAAAAAATCCAATATTGAGTCTATCAGTATACAATATGACACAGTAAGATTATAAACTGACTTATTCACTGACGGTGTATTCTTACTTGATAATGGGGTCGATGTTCTCATGCGCGGTGGTCTCGCCTACCAAGTATCGCAGTGAAGCATCCACGTTGGCATTCTCCCTGATGCTGTACCTCATCAGCTCCAATGGCACATTCGCCTCCGTGCGCGCCTCACCAGATCCATCAGTCGATAGGAAATGTCCTAAATAATATTTATTCTAAAATATATAAGACCATAAAAATCCTGGCCTGGGGATGTCAATTTCTAATATCCCCAAAGGAATCACTCAGGTTTTCTTGGTCCAGAAAGACTGACAATGACTACCACAGATTTCTTCCCCTTGAATAAATGTAAAATAATTAGCAAATTTTAAATCCCTCTAGCACTTAAACTTTGCAACTCTGGATAAAGGAAAGTTGAGTCAAATTACATTTTCGACCAAGGAATCTATGTTAGTCCATTGTACACATCTTTCCTGGACATCCTGTATATTGCTTTGTATGTCTTTAAAAGTACACACCTTAACGACATTTGATAACAAAGATGGATTTAATGACACTAGATAAGTTAAAACCTCAACTTTTAAAATAATTGCTTACCAATTATCATTAAAATCCAATGCAAATCTTCAAACAGCATCGACAATTGATTTGCTCCAGAAACCAGTACCTTGCCAGTATGCATTAATTGCAGTTGACTTTCCAACCTATAATAAAAAATAACACCTGTATTGCACTGCAATTACAGTGAAACACAGTGATAGTGCACGATATTCAATTTACATGGGAAGGAAATTTAATTCCGTGACTATAAACACCAATTCGTAGCATTTACCTTTTGCTTCTATCTTGCAATAAAGTGAAGAGTAAATGACAGCAATGTGCAGGTGCCTTACGAGCCATCGCACCTATTGTCATTAACACTTCATTATGTAACTGTCTATCATCTTCTTCTATATCATCCTTTACATCTTCATCACAGCCATCCTTAGCTTCAAGTCCCCTATAATGAATGTTTAACTTTAGACCCGACTTCCACTAGCACAACTAGTCGGTTAATATGTAAACGTAATTTATGTTATTTCAAATGAATGAATGCTTCTGTCATAGAAATAGTAATCAGTAAGCCATTAGGGCTTTGCGGAAAAGATTTTCTTAGAAGCTTTTTTAGTGTATGTTTAAAATATAATGTCTTTTTCTCTGTGTTACATTTTTATAGACAAAAATCCTTACCTGGTACCATCGGGAGGAGCTAATCTGCATTGGAGATATGTGTTGAACACTTCTATGCATGGATTTTGTAATGTTTCAGTTGTGTATCCATCAACATCATGCACCAAAGAACTCCAAGTGTGCAAGAATTTGTTCAATGCTTCTCTTAATACTGTGTCTTCATTCAACTAAAGTAAAAAAACATGTTACATTAAAAATATGAGTCCTATATAGAAAAATGTAACACAAAATTTTTAACTTGACAACATTGTTTTATAAATTAGCTTGATAAATATTAATTTCTGTTTAGTAACTTTAAAAAGAACTGCATTGATTTTGGTTGTCTATAGTATGTTCATGTTTGATATGTAATTAAAGATTGTTTAAAGTTTTCTCTTTAAAAAATTGCGTTCGAAACGTACGACAGTTTACGTAGGAGCCACGACATATTTTTCTTACTTAGTTATTCAAGTTGTACTTACTCCTTCTTCTATTATTGAACCTCTTATACAATGGCATGTATAAGTTGTCAAGTACTGAAGAAAATCAGGAGGCGTCCCAGCTATCAAGGTAGGTGTAAAAAACTGTATCAATCTGCGATATATCTCTGATATACCGAGCATTTCCCTGTGATTCGGCTGAATGAATGATAACATTCGGAGAAAATTGTTCACGTAATGCTCCAGGTACTGCTGTTTTAAATTACTGGCCGACACTACTACGCCACTTAAGCTCGCCAATTGCACTAAACAAGTCAGTGAAGGATTAGCTAGGTCAGGATTTGAGCGAACATATATATGTAGCTCAAAGAACAATGCAATCAATTCTGGTTTCATTATAGTGTCCCGCCAGTTCATACTTAACCTCAATGCAGGTGCTGTCTCGCTTTCGTAGATAGCTTCAAATGCACCAATCAATCGTTTTGACAGTAAAGGTGATACATGACTCCAGCATAGTATAGTTTCTATGATAGTAATCAATTGCTTGGTTAGCATTGCTTGGTCACCTTCAGGTGGATGACCTGAGCGTATGATTTGTTCCAATACTCCAATCGTGAAGCGAAATATACGCTTCAAATTCAATGTTTCAAATGATTTCTTCAAACGGAAATGCACTTCCCATATTAACCCAACATCTGCCGTTTTAACTGTGATTGCAAATTCTTGCATTATAGCCAATATCAAGGAACATGCTAGCCTCTGTTGACTAATAGGTGGGCTTACAATTATTTTCTCTAATTCAGCCAATAAAGCTTTCCTTTCTCTACCTCCATCATCAACACTACCTCTTTTGATGATTATGGCTATAGTCTGAAAAAAAAAAGAAATTTTTTGAGATTTAGTTAGATTTATTTTCAGGCAATTGATTATAAGCTTACCTGTAGTAATCTCTCTTTCACAAATGCAGGATTTTCTTTTCGCAGTAAATAATTTAATAAATACTCTCTTATTGATGAAGTATCCTCTTTAGATAATAAACTCCATTCCCTTATCAGGCCTGCTTTTATCAGACCAGCAGCTTCAAAGAGCACATATTCCGATGATGACTTCTCGAGAATCTCGCGGCACAGTTGATAAGGATTTTTTGTTGTGCGAAATTCTAAAAAGACACTTTCTGCTTGATGGCGTTGTTCTGGTGACACCAGGTTTGGTGGTGCCTAAAAAATCACATTGAAATAATTTCATTTATTTTGCTTTATTGTTTGGTTAGTGCAATGAAATAATTGCAAATAAGACTATGGAAAATTAACCACTGAATTAATAAATTACACCATGCTAAATTCAAGACTTTGTTTACAAGGTTCTGATATTTTTGTTCTGATATTTTTTGAATAGGGTTAAATCTATATGAATCACATTTATTAACATAGATGTAATGTAATTTGCAAAAGCCTTTTGTTCATAACATATATATTTAATACTATAAAGTTAATGACAACATAAATAAATTCTAATTTCAGCATAAAAATGTATATTCAAGATTTCAAAATACGAAGTTAAACATAAAGAACTTCGCTTTAAAGTTCAAATTTATTACAGTATTATTTATTTTACACTTATTTATTTACAACATAATAAAAAATAATCTGAAAATGGTTTTGTTTTTTTTTTACTTTTAAGTGAATATCAATAAAAGAGAGTTGTGGTCAAATAGACTAGAGTTTTATTTGTTAATCAAAGCATTTTCTGATCTTAACAGTATTCATTTATTTTATAAAAATATTTCTTACCATCAATATTTGTGCCGCTGACTCCAAGGTTTGGATGGCAGAGTCACTCATTTTGATTAATACAAATTTATTGACAGGAAGGATAATTATAATTTAAACTCTCTTATACCAAATCATATCGTAAATCAAAACATTTAGATATTCAGACATCGCAAAATTACAATTTACGACATTTACAAAAAGAAAATAATGGTTCACAAAAGGAGAATACAGATAAATAACTGTATAGATTACACAAAATTGGTACAATAAAATCAAAACTTTCTTCGTGCTCTCTTTATTTACCAATTTTAACAGAATGTTAAAATATTCGAGATTTTGGTGCTTGTGTACATGAATTAATGTATCAAATAGTTTAAAAGTTAAAACTTAACTTCACTGAAATACGAACCCATAACAAAAATAGCAAAAACGGCGCCTGTGGCGCCCCCCTAAACCAGGCACCCTGGGTACTGGGTGGTTAATTCACCTACTCCTGCTTTAAGCGCCGGTACTAAGGAAATCTATGATGAAAAAAACCATATGAGGTGAAAAATGCACTATAAAATAAAGTCCGAAAAACAATTCTACGGCCAACAAGCTCCATTTGTGCATTTGAAGAACCTTTCCTGCTTCTACATCTATCCATATATTACTATCCATGCGTTTACATTATGCATCCCATAAGACCAGTAATCATGTTGTTAGAATAGTTTTTTGGGGAGAATAAGAGGTATAAAATATGTTTTTATACGAATCTTTATCTAATCTTAGCCGTAAAAACCTATGAATGCTAATACGAAGAATAAAATGTTAGAAAGACTGACACCTGTACCTTACACATATTCAAAATCTGAATAAAGGACTACAAGATTCACAGTAATGGGTTTTAATACATATATCTAACACCTATGGTTGAAAACAGGTCAGTGCTGATCACGTGTAGGTATTTAATTTGGTAGGTAGACATACTTTACAGATATTTTGATAGTATGATCGAATTGCGAATGCTGATTGGTCGTTGTGAAAAAAGGCGATGAGACGATGAGACGATTCTATACCATTACCACCGCAACAAGAATAATTTCCGAGAAGATGTTGCGATTACGACGCTTATCATAACTCCAAAATTGCGTAGTATAGTTTTCTAATATAACATTGAATAAGAAATTATCGTACTATAAAATGATATTGTGGTCAATGCTGTGGTTACAATACCAAGCGTAAAATATAATTTTACACCATTATGTATGAATATTAAATTCCATTTGCGGCCGAGTCTATTGTAATTTACATATTGTTACGAGATTTGTTTCGAGATTAGGCATAAAAAATATTGATTTGGTATTACGCATCCACCCATGGTACTTATCTAGAAAGATGTCACGAAAGATATATTTTAATTTTAGTTGGAGCGATTTTAACTATTAGATTTTTGTTTCGCTTATTGATGAGTAACCCCTGATCTGTTGGAAATAAAAGACATTAGATAAAATAAATTAAATTAGTTACCCGGCCACTAAACTGTTTAATTAAATATGTGCTGAGAAATATCATATCATTAATATTTTTCATGTTTCAGGAATCGAACATAAAAACGTCATTTACAATTGTTTCGATAATTATCTCGAGTAACTGGTTTTAATTCATTGAAAATTATTGTAATTATGCTGTCGATAAAAACATTGATGCATGTCACGGCACGGTTAAGCAAGAGCTTTTTTTATTTATATTGTCCTATAATAGTCAATTTTTCTTAATAGAAGAGAAGGCAGAAAACGTCCACCTAATTTTGCGAGTAGTTAAAAGGTAAAAAGGCGTTGCCTACCTCTAACTACCAAAAGAGGGATTAAAAAAGGGACATTTCCCGCCTTGCCATCCTAAACTCATAAGAAAGGGTGGAAGGGGTTAGAGGAGTGTACTTAGTCACTGCCACACAAACTAATTAGACAAAACACGACAATAGTTCCAAATATGTGTAAATGTGTTCTGTGGCTCCAATAGTATCGCCGCCATTGCTAGACCGCGGTGCGGCACCGCCGGTGCCCAACTCATCCACCTTCAATCATGATTTGAGAAGGAAAATTAAAAATACCAGCAATATTAACACTATATATTGACTAGATAAGTTATTGTATTGTACTGTAATAAATTACACTTAAATGTTTATTTGATTTCACATTCATTTTCAATTAATTGTAATCTTCTTTCTAATAAGTCTTTATTCAATTTGTGCATACATAGGAACTTTCCATTAAGAAATATTACAGGTATATCATTTCTATACAATCGTAACCATCTTAGATTTTCCTTCTCTGTTATATAAACTTTTTCTACTAATACTCTGTTTCTAAAAGGCTCAAGGTCTTCCAGAGCTATGTCACATAAAGGACATGGATCTTTTGTGTAAAATGTTAATGTGGGTGTCCTTTTTGTTGCTTCAGGTCTGAAAAAGGAGATTCATAATTTCATAAAGAAAAAAAAATTGTCATATTAAATGGTTTAATTAAAATATATATTAAAATTTGATTATAAATGTCTTAACAGCAGAAAAATCTGGCATATGATACAATATAAAACCTTTCCTTAAAACTATTCTTAACCATACATAACAAGTTTCATAATAAAGCAAAATAAAATTAAGGCACAAAGTATCAGTTATGCAGTACCAAAAAAGAAGAAATTCCATCTAATTAAAATGTACACAAAGTATCACAAAAAACCTATTACTTTGCTAGGTATCTTCAGGCCAAACCATTGTAAAATTATAGAATAAATCATAATTAAACAAATTTCAGTGAAGTAATTTAAGTAGATTAGACTTATAATTAATACAAACATTTTAAAGTTTAGAACTTTGTACATGTTTTTGCTTACACAGGTCAAAGCAGCAAAGTTCAGATAAGTATCAAATTTTTTGTGACAATTTGTCTATATTTTAACTAAACTGAGGTCACGATAGAGTTGGCATTATAACATTATCAAACACCAATTCACAATATACAGATAAATAGATTTCCAAAGCTGCAGAACTTACAATTTTTCAATCATAATAGATGAGGCACCACCACCTCCGTTACAAATAGATGCTACACCCTTTTCACCTTTCTTCAGTGCATGACACAAGTGGACGACAATACGGGCCCCAGACATACCAATAGGATGTCCTAAACTAACAGCACCTCCATGGACATTAATCTTTGCAGGGTCCAAGCCCAACAACTTCTGGTTAGCAACAGCAACAACACTAAAGGCTTCATTTATTTCCCATAAAGCTACATCATCTTTATTAACTCCAGTCTTTTCTAACAATTTAGGAATAGCAACAGCAGGAGCTATCGGGAAGTCAATAGGGTCACACTCTCCATCAGCAAAGCCAACAACCTTAGCAATGGGAGTGACATTCAATCTCTTAGCTGCATCTGCGGTCATTAATACCAAGGCTGCAGCACCATCATTTAAAGTTGAAGCATTACCAGCAGTAACAGTTCCATTCTCCTTTTGAAACACAGTGGACAATTTTGTGAATTTCTCAAAGTTCACCCTTTTGTATTCCTCATCTTCCTCAAAAATTACAGGGGGTGCTCCTCGTTTTTGAGGAACTGGGACAGATACTAACTCATCAGCAAAAGCCTTTTGTTCATAAGCAGCAGCACTTCTCTTATAACTAGAAATAGCATAATCATCTTGGTCTTTTCTTGAGATTTCTAATTTTTTGGCAGTGTTTTCTGCACAATTACCCATATGGAATTTGTTGTACACATCAGTTAGTCCATCAAAGACAATTCCATCAACTAATTGAAGCCCGCCATAGGTGGTATCCCCACGTTTCAAATAAAACGGCACATTGGACATTGACTCCATTCCACCGGCCAACATTACATCTTGAGCTCCTGTTTGCAGGCCTTGAGCAGCTAGCATAATTGACTTCATGCCAGAAGCACAAACTTTATTTACTGTTGTACATATGGTACTTTTAGGTAGTCCAGCAAAAATGACAGCTTGTCTAGCAGGGGCTTGTCCAAGGTTAGCAGAGCACACATTTCCTATGTATACCTATAACAAAACGAATAATACAAGACTTTAGTAATTTCATCATCTCTCAGAACTTCTTAAATGAGATTTAAGAAGTTATCAATTCTTTATGAGATAAATTCTTATCAAATTTTGTCTGGCGTAACGTAACGTAACTCTAAACATTACCGTTATATTTGTGTTGGTTTGGATTCTTCAAACAATTAAGAGCTAACTGTACATTATAGAAAGTAAGTAAGTTTCACTAACCTCTTTTACTTCTTCCTTAGGAATACCGGCTCTTTCGATTGCAGCTGTAACAGCAACAGCACCCAGTTCACTTGCAGACATGCTTGCTAAACTTCCTCTGAAAGAACCCATAGGGGTCCTAACTGCTGATGCTATAACAACCTCATTTAGGCTAACGTTCGACAAGGATCTCGACATCGTTTTCAAAATCTAATAAGCAAACGCTAAATTAACAACAATTTATTTAACTTAATACAAAATAATACTGTATGGTAAGTTAATACCAAAATAATCAACCTATCGCTAAGGCGACTGAAATTCAACTGAGAAAAAAATTGACAGAATGAAAATGTAAGTTTAGATAAAGTACATACCGTGCCCCCGATGCATATTTTAAAGGTAATCAGTTTTGTTCCTTTGAAGAGAAGCATTGTTAATTTCGGTAAAAAAAAAGTAGTCTTACTGCTATTCACGAAACGTGACACGAGATCTTTGATTAAAAACTTACGGAATAACAATTAGATCGAGATACTTTATCATTGTAGATGTAGCTTATTTATTTAAAGTTATCAGTTAACGCGCAAACACAATATTGTACCTTAAGATTCATTGATAAAGTTCAATTTCACATACTTATATTTGAAAAGAAAAAGTGAAATAAACTTTGACCGGTTATGTATAGTTAATTATATATCACACTTGTTAAGGTGTTGATTGTTAAGCTGTTTTGTAATTTGTAGAATCAAATGGAAAATAATACTTAAAACCAGATATTTCCAATATTAAAGATTCGCAGAAAATAGGACTTTATGGGTATTTTTATTACTGACCTATTAAACCTACTAAGAAAAAAATGTTGACCAAATTATTTAAAAAAAAGAAGAATATTCACGTTTCTATTATCAATTATTTTCATTCTTTCTAATTTCTAACATTTCATAATCATTTTTTGTGTTATCTTTTTTAGAAAAAAATAGGACAACACTCAAATCGTCAAATCAAAGTCATCTTTATTGCCCAATTGTCACTGTCATTCGGGTAACTAATTAATTTTTGTAGTACCAAGGTGGTAATTAGTAATTGTTAGAAAATAGCTTACACATGGTTTTTGTGTTTACAAGTAGCAAAAGGCTATTTAGCATTATATGTATATTGGCAATTATATCATTCGATGTTATCATTTAAAGTGGATTTACTTTGTTTCATTATCAAACAAAGTATGATGGATCAGGTCTACAGAAAAGATTTAAGGTAATGGGTCATTGCTTTTAAAATAGTTTTGTCAATTAAAAAAAAAAGCAATGTGATTAATATTTTTACTGTAAATTATATTTACTTTATTGTATTTCTTAAGTTTGTGGAGTCGTGGCGTTTACATTTCGTAACTACAACAGACGTTCTATTGATAAGAAAATTAGGGACGCGAAATTTTAAAGATAATTAGTCCAAAATAATCTAATTTAAAAAAAAGATTAACAAAAGTAATATTTTCAGTGAGTGACTATGTCTGAAACACAAGACTGTTTCCCTCAATTTTATTTCAACACAGTGCTGAAATTTGGGTATGTATTCCAGATAGTTTTATAGTCAAAATGTTTAATTAAGCATAACAAAATATTTTTTAGAGGTTAAAAACAGAATGTTTACATTTTATTTGGTAAGGTGTTAAAAACAAATAATTGTGGTTAATTTATAAAATTTAATAATAAAAATATATTTTATCTCTATTACAAACTTATGTCAATCACCAACTGAGAGTAACTATCATCTGTCTCAAATGTTACTGATAGAGATATTTAAGATATTTGAAGGGGAAGTAGGATGACCTAATTACTTCAAAATAATTTACCTACTCACAATAGTATAATGAGACTTGTTTACTATTTGGGTTGCCATTGTTTTTTATTGTTTTAATATAGAGATGTTTGTGCCTAAAGCTTTTTTAATTACTCAATTGATTTCATCATGTATACCTGTATTGGAAAACAACTTTAATTTCGTTTAACAAAACCATATTTTGAGAGAGTATATGTAGCAAAGTTTTAAACTTACATATTCAAGTATTGTGAAATCATATAGTAGTGTTAAGTTTAACTTGTGTTCTATAAGTGGTAGATAATTAAACTTGTTAGATATTTGTGCACAAACTCAATTTGCATTGTCTGCATTTAGCCATGTACAAGTGGTGGAAAATTCTTGCTTATCATTACCGTTTGTATACTTTCTAGCATGATTTATCATCAAAAACTTCAGGGAATGTAATAATTAATTTTGTTTTTAGGGTTTAAGCTCCGAAAGGCCAGGTACAACCTAGGCCATGCGATAAAAATGGAAGCTGTGGATATGGATGCAGGCAGATATGAACTGAAGGATAGCTTACCGGGTAGCAGTGTTGACAGTGATGCATCCAGTAGTCTTTTATTCAGCAATGATGTCAGCGAACATAGTGATAAAACATCTGATGATGAAGAGGATTTACGTGAAGATCTACAGAAAACTATACCTGAATGTTACAAATCGGACTCAAATTTCGCATCACATAGTACAAAAAACATCACAAATGATGAGGAATTTCAAGCAACAGCTCTCTGTCAATTTATGGATATCTTGAATGACTTAGATGAAGTTTTAGACAAATCATTATTAGCTTGCCTTGATGATACTCAAAATTTTGACAGCGATGAAGAAGACATTATATGTAAATTAAAAGATTGTATAGCTGACCAAGAACAACCAATGGAAGATACACCAAGCGAAAGTTCTATGGATAATACACAAGTTGTTATAGGAAGATCCACACAGAGTGTAGAACCGGCTTTAGATGATATTGAATTAACACAAAATCTATTTGAACAACCGCAATGTAGAAGTCTCAGAAGGTCTAAAAGTTATTCAGAATTACCTCAAAATCATAGCAATACTCGGCAATTAGAAAGAGCTAATACAATGAATGACAACTTAAGAAATTCGATGCGTAGATTAGATCCGATAGTACTGCCGGCTTTGAATGCTGAATCTGTTTGTGAACCGTTAACTTTGCCTGTTATTTTGTTTCTGGAACATCATGTTAATATGAGGCCTACAAGTGCACCACTACAATTACAAGTTACTGCTACAAATCTTAGTACAAATAGTGGATCTTCAGGGCCCATTATAGTTGGTCGTCGTGCATTACTTATGAATCGTGCATTATCTTTACCCTCACCCGGTGATAGTGATATAACAAGTGCAGGCTGGAATGGACCCAACAGTCGGAGTATAGCGAGAAGTACAAGCAGTACGTCAAGTTCTTCCGGTGAATCCTTAGCTGGTATTGCTGCTATGAATCAAATTGGAGCAGGTACATCTGATGAGAGGTAAATAAAAAAATTATATTGGAATAATCAATAAAATTGTAGTTATTTTATTACTTCTATACTTAAAATTATGAAGAGGATAGATCTGGATTTTTGTATGCATCGAAATAACTCAAAAACTACTGGGCCGATTTTAGTATTTTTTTTTACCATTAGATAGGTAATTTATTATTTTTAATTCGGCGCCGACCCTACGGGAGTAGGATAAGGAGGATGATGATGATGTCGCGGACGAAGTCACGTGCAATAGCTAGTCTATACTAATATTATTAAGAGGAAAGATTTGTATTTTTGTGTGTATTGAAATAACTCAAAAAATACAGGTCTCTTTCACCGTTAAAAAGCTACATTATCAGGGAGTTACATAGGCTATACATATGTTTTTTATTATTTTTCAATAAATTTCACGCTGACGAAGTCGCGAGCAACAGCTAGTATACTTATATAGATAGGAAAAACGCAATTTAATTTAGTAATATTTTTTGTTTCAGAAACGAAGAGACTGATGAACCGCCTTTTGGCGTTTGGCCACATAGCATGAGCTCAATGCTGGCGTGCCTTAGTTGTACTGTTGGAATATTTAATATTTCCAGATTTTCCGTATTCAGTGTGCATTACGGAGGTGAGTATTGAAAAAATATGAACCTTACCTTTATAGAATCATAAGTGTATGTTAAAATTGTATAGTGTAAGGAGATATGAACGAAAGTGGACTGTTCAAAGGTTGAAATGATTTATCAACTTCCTACGAAAATCTAATATGAGATAGCCAAAGATAGACATGTCAATCAATATAAAGATTTTCTGTAGATAATACCTATGACTTACACTGAAACTTAAAAGAAATAAAGTATCGTTAAATACCGTGATTTAGCCTTATTAAAAATATACTATCTGTAGGTTATAGAATAAATTGTGTAGAATTTTTAAAATAGTTTTATTTTCTACTTTTACATCTTTTTATTAGCTCTTTTTGTTGTGAATGCATAACTTCCTATAACATACGTAATTTTAATGTGAGTATTGTCCCAGTTTTAGGAACACCCTCTTTCTGTCAGATGCCCTAGGTGAAAGCCCAACTGCGCCCTACTCTAAAGCCGGCATGTGATGCCATATAATAGACATAAAATGTTACTAAAACGATACCTAGTTAGTAACTATAATTAATATCTGACCATATCTAGTATGACTATTATTCACATATCTGACTCATAAAAAATAGGATTTCCTTTTGCTTTACACTGAAAACAATACAATGTAGATAATTTCATGTATAAGATATTATTTATTCGGCTTGTATGTTTGATATTTAACGGATTATTTTTTTTATTCTATTATTTTTTCAACTAAATTTTTGTTTTCTTTTTAGCATGCTTCATACTACAGTTTTTCATACTATCTCTTTTCACTGGAATACCGCTATTCACATTACACTTATGCCTGGGTCATGTGCTGCAATCGGGCCCCATCGATATGTGGCGTATCTCACCGATATTCAAAGGTGTTGGTGTTTCATTGCTCCTCACGCAAGCGGTGATCGGAATGTACAGCGTGATAAGCCTGTCATGGATATTCGTTTATTTTCGAGACTCGTTTATAACATCCGATGATAAATACAAATGGGCTTTACCGCTAGGATTCAGTTTTGATGGTGAGTGTACATTTATGATACTTTTTGAATCGTGAACAGTTTTATGATATATGTATAGTTATGTAACTTACTTTGATATATAATCTTCTTAATATTATAATTGGAAAGTTTAGATGGATGGATGGATGTTAGTTAGAGATAATAGCCTAAACTGTACTGATTTCGATGAAATTTTGTATAGATGTAGAGGATAGTCTAGAAAACTACACAAGCTTCTTAGTTTTTTTTAATTTTACGCGTACTGAGTCGCGGGCGTAAGCTTGTTTTAAACATAATGACAAAATAAACTTATTTTATTACAACGCAAGATAAATAAATGCAATTGCGATGTTTTTTAAATTAACTGTAATCCTTTATTTACGTTTCATTATAACTCGCTAAGAACTTAAATGGCGGTTAATAAATGTTTAAAGAAAATGGAAAGTACTCGTTTTTAATATGGACCGATGAAAACGAAAGCGGCCACGGTGAATTGTTGTGAATGCATGACTAATTTAATGAAATTTACTTTAAATTAAACAAAAAGTCTATTACGTTAACTGATTTGTAATTGGTGACAGCGATAATTCTATCAAAGTGCTTTTTTTTTATTTAATTTAATTTAATTTGGCCTTACAATATTTGCCGTTTGCCCATCGTAATTGTACGTATAATTCTGTCAAATCTACACTATAAAAGGACAATGTTACTATCTACTACTAAATAAAAAAAACTACAGCTACACGAAATTCGAGAATAAATTAAAATAAACCATTAAGAATCTTCCTCAGTTATTCGAGTGTAAATTACAGGAAATGTAGAAGGTCGCCATAAAAAGCGCATAAAGAAGAAATCTTTTTGTTTTTTTCAATACCATCCTTGACTATTTTATGCCAGTACGATACTCGCAGAGCGTGTAAGTGATACAGCAATGTATTACGACACGACCACGAAGATCCAAGGTTGCGTACATTGCGCCATTTGTATGAAGTTTTAGACTGTCTACACATATTTCAAGACTGAATTAGGTTCGGTTCAAGTAAAATTATAACTCGTAGATAGACCTTATCCAACGACAAACTATCTAGTACCTCGTCGGTTACTTCCCATTCAAATCATTTGAGTTTATTTCCTTTTGCACAATTTGATTGTAAATGAATACATACATAACATGCGGTTTTCGATATTCTTGGCTGTTCACCGCATTCATTTAAAGTACCCGCTACAAAGATATTAAATCTACGTTCATATCATTAAATTATTTCACTATGTAAACTTTTGTACACTGTACAGTTATGCAGTGACAATCAGACTTAGGTGTCTTGGTATTGTTAACGAATAGATTATTTCGATAATTAAAATTATACTTGCAAAATATATTACGTATAATTCAATTTTACATACGTTATATGTACACATACTTTAATATAATGAGTAAATAGATTTTCGTTGACATGTAATGTTATTTTTATGACCTGTGTAATGACTGTGGTGTTAATTGTAGACACATAGCTGTGGTAATTACGTAACCACGTAGACATAAAATGATAACAGACACGCAAGAATATACACTTATTAAATAAAAATATTTAATTGATATTTTTTTGTTGTAAAGCACGTCTTGGACAGTTACGAAAGAATGGTTCAAAGTCGGCTTAGTAGATTTAAGCAATTAAACATTCTGGTTTAAAAAAAAGTAACATCACGATAGTTAACAACAGCGTGATATCGTAGTGATATCGCAAAGTCGAAACTACAGTTGTTTACAAAAAAATCTGAATCTGAAACGAATTTTAAATGCTTCGCTTCGTAAGCGCCGCTTACAATCTAATACACGTCAAAATGTGTAAGGAATTTGGAGTTTTTTTTGTTAACACGGGAATGCATTTCCACATTTCGCCGTCCGGGCTGCGGGGGCAGTAGGGTCAGTTTCGTATAGAACTCGGCCTTATATTTAAGCAAGACTACCCACTTAACCTTGGTGTTCTTCGCCCGACCAGGGCGCGGCATCTACATTAGTTTATCCACGACCCGGCTAGGAGCCCCTTGGTAGAGACTCGACACCTACAGGGGAGGGTCAGAATTTAATACGATGTTGCATACTTAAATGACGTTTCAGTATTCGGCCGTTAGTTAGACTGTATTTTCTTTTTACTTTAACAATTTATCTTGATTTGTTTTATTTTTTCCTTATCGTCGATGTTGTAATTCCTATAAGATTTATACGATAGAAAGCATATTTATCTGAGATAACAATGAACAAAGATTCCATTATCAAACACAAAGTTATGACATCGAAATGCGCGCGCAATGCATTTATGAGTTCATTGTCAATGACAATTATAGAACGCTGATGAACGTTTTTATTTATTTATAAAAATCTTTTTGTCGACAGAATAATTAGCATAGAATAACAAATTCAATAATCATTACATGCATCTTTGATAAGTCTTTCACTATTGTATTTTCTTAATGCTATTAAAAATATTATATAAACAATTGTGATTACTTAATATTAATTACTAGCTGTTCCCCTGCGGATTCATCCGCGTGTAATTATAAAAACTTTATTTTATTGTTTACATTTGCCAAATTATCAATTACAAATGTCAAAATGACATGACATGATGATAACCTTCTCAATCTTGCTTCCTTGATGTTGGCAGCAACTTATGGTCTCTTTCCCACATTAGGGTTTTTATCCAAAATATTAATCCCCTAAGTTTAATGGCGTGAAAATATATAGCCTAAAGCGTGACGTAAGTGTAGGGCTTTTTATTAAAAAAAGAGTTATTCGAAACTATGCCGTGATTGGTGACATCTTAGGCAACAAAGAAGTGGGTGTTTACGCTTTATTATAATAGTATAGATAATATTAATTATAAGCTATTTGTAAGGAGGAAATAATTAGTAGGAATAATAAATCTTGATACTTAATTTCAGATGTAAATCTTAAAAATAGCACGTTTAAGATCCAAGAGACTATACCTCAGTACTTCCATGGCGAGGTGTTGCAGCGGGGGACGGGGACTGGCAACCAATTCGGCACTGTCAAGTATCAAGTAGCGTTATACCTTGCAGTTGTTTGGATGATTGTATTTGTCGCGCTCAGCAAAGGTCTACGGTCATATGGAAAGGTAAAATATTTCTTCAATTCAATTGACAATAAAAGAAATTAAAGCGCACACTTGGTCCTCATTCTCGGTCAAACGCTCTTCGTTAGATTGAGGGGGAAGGGGGGAGGACTGCTATCATTTTTTTATTTGCTAGCAGGGGCAGCTACCCCTACAATCCTAGTCACGCACATAATGTACATGACTTTTTAAATTTATTTTTGTATTAAGGGCCTGTCCCACCACTGGTTGATAGAAGCTCAGATGCTTAAAAATGACGTCACTGTCAGATAAGGAAACAAAATCCGATATTTTCATCACATATTTTACACATTGGATTGATATCGGACAATTCACAGTTTGGTGGGACAGGCCTTTAGTTTATTTAAGGTCTTACATATTACAATACATGAGCGTCGGTGTCTCAGTGGTTTAAGTGTACATAATTTACCCGACGTTCTTACGATAAAGGAAAACATCGTGATGAAACCTGCAGATATCGGTGAAAAAATTCAAAGATACACATATCTTCACACACACTTCTTCACACATGAAGTCGACCACACTGGGTCAGCGTGGTTGACTATGGCCTAGTCACCCTAACCTAGTGTAGGCTCCGAGCCCCTCGGTGGGGACATCTAGTGAGCTGGTGATGATGATAAATATTTGAATAGATTGATCACCTTTGTTGAGTACATGCAGACATTTTATCAACTATGCCTCCTCTAAATTTTTTAATGTATTTTATTTATGTTTCAGGCGATTTACGTACTGATGTTTCTACCGATGTGCGGCACGTTGGTATTGTGCACGAAGCTGCTGACCCTGATCCCATACGACACCGTGATAAATATCTTCTCCGAAACTGAATGGAGTGAATTCTTCCTCAATAGTAATGTATGTTAATGTCACACGAGTTGATATGTTACAACTATTGTATTCGTTACAATCTGATATAGGAATAGTCTATTTGTGTTACGGATTTTGTTACATTTGCCTATTTAAATATTTATGATCTCCAGATATTTTTTTCTATTCACATATTTATAGGTATTTAAATTAATATTTATATCTTGATTTTCATATTATAGTTAATATTTTGTGTAATAAATGCTACTGTTTTTATGGATGTAGTATGTATGGAGAATGTCTGAAAGGATTATTGCATAGCAGTGTGTAGGCGGAAATTTACTTTACTATAGTAATACTAGCTTTCGCTATCAACTCCGTTTACGTGGAAGTAGAAAAAAACCAGTAAGGGGCCTATGTGTTCTTCCAAACTATCCTCTGCATCTATGTCAAACATTGAGATAGATTCAGATTAGGTTACAAACTCTAAAAAAAAATGGAAATAAAAGAATCGCATTTATAAAAGTATGATAATCTTACAAATATTATAAATGCACAAGTTTAGATGAATGGATGGATATTTTTGAGAGTTTGTAGCTTAAACGGTTGGATAAAATTGGTATAATTGTAGAGGATAGTCTGGAAAAAAACATAGGCTACTCACTTTTGTCTTTCGTAATTCCACGCAGACGGTGTCGCGGGCGAAAGCTGGTGACATATATGTTTACAATTCAATATTAAATCGTTCAAAATATCAAGTATATTTCAATTATGAACAAAAGTTTTAACATTTTGATCAAATACATGTGATGATAGTAATATTGCAAATATTGTGATCAGAGTTGGGCGGCGGCGGCGCAAGAGACGTTTCTGACATGGGGCGTGCTGGGGGCGTGCGTGATGCAGCTGACGTCACAGGGCGCGGGGCGTGGCGCGGGGCGGGGCGCGGGGCGGCCGCTGCGCCAGAGCGGGTACGTGGTACTCTGCACCTTCGCCGTGCTGCTGCTGGCCGCCTGCCTCGCTAACACATGTGTACGGATAATCAATAACAATGGATACCTCTTCGTACCGAGCAGCTTCGGTAAGTTGACCTTTTAAATCATTTTAGTTGTATCAATTACATTTGTCTCATCTTCCTCCCTTATCCTACTCCCGTAGAGTCATCGCACTGGGTTGTCATCATCTTGATCATCATCGTCTTCTCAGTCATCACTCCTTTCTTAATTCACCTTTCAAACAATCCATCCATCTCTTTCTAAGTCTACTTCTACCGGTGTACCCTTCCACAGTCATATCTTGTTACATGTAATTTTTACTTATTACTTCTTGTTACATGAGATCAATTTAATTTGTCAAATTTAAAGAAAATCCAGAAATTTCGACGATGTATTTACTAAACGTTATTCAATATTGAAATATATCTTTTCACAGTTTGTATCTATGTATCAGATTCTACTCAATCAATTTTCATACCTCACAAGTTCAAACAAACTCAAAATTTTGGAATCTAACACATATAAAATTAATTTATATAATGTTTCAATATGTTATTTGTATATTTTCAGAGACAGTGAAATCGTCGGAATTCCTGTGGCCGCGTTCCGTGGCGCAGCCGGGGGGCGGGGCGGTGCCGGCGCGCTACGCGGGGCAGTACGGCAGCCTGGTGGGCGTGTCGGTGTGGCGCGCCGGGCCCGCCGCGCGCCCGCTCAGCGGCTGGCAGCCCCTGCAGCTCGCCACGCAGATAGTGCCCGCAGCGCTCGCCCTCGTGCCCACAAATGTCGTCAGTATTGCAACTAATTATTAGATTTTTAGTTTAGTTTAGGTTACTACAAAAAACTACAGCAGCAGGAAGGAAAGTATTAACTCATTACTCGACATATAGATTCATAGTGTTTTGTATCTGTTTATTGCTGCAAATTTAAAATAAACATTTTGTTTTAAAACATGTTATAGGATGTGAATGCTACATTCATATTAGTAAGCTATCGATACATAACATAATCACTTTTTCGAATAACGACTATAAAAACCCATTTTGTCGATTCGCTATAGTAGTAGTAGTAGTAGTAGAAATAGTGGTAAAAGCAGATATTTTACGATTTTCACTACTAGATATTTTGGTTTTATCCATTACTAGATTTCGCCCGCGATTTCGTCCGCGAGGATTTTAAAAAAAAAAACAAAAGCGAGTAGCCTATGTGTTCTTCGAGACTATCCTCTATGTCTATGCCAAATTTCATCAAAATCTGTTCAGACGTTTAGCCTACAAACTAACAAACATCCATTCATCTAAACTTTCGCATTAATAATCTTATTATGATGTCATATTTACAAATTTGTAACAGCGCCATCTATCGTAACGCCATTTTCGTGTTCCAGTTGTCTCCGGCGTGGGCGGTGATTTTCTTCTTCACGCTGCTGATGTTCGGGGTGGCGCAGCAGCTCGCCATCTGGCACTGCGTCATCGCCGGCCTCATGGCCACCAACAAGCACACGCTGCGTCGCTGGGAGACTACCATCACATTCTTCAGCTGCGTCTTTGGATTCGCTATGGGATTGCTGCTTACAACTGACGTGAGTAGCTTTTGGTATTCTATATTAAGCTTACTTCATACTAATATTGTAAATGCGAACGTTTAGATGGATGGATGGATGGATGTATGGATGTTTGTTAGAGTTTGAAGGCTAAACTGTTGAACGGATCATGATGAAATTTAGCGTAGATGTATTATTTTTTCTTGTGGCTACTTAGTTTTTCTTATTCGACGCGGCCAGTGTCGGGGGCGAAACTTGGTTGGTTTATAAGTTCCTGAAATCGGTAATAAAAGTTTAATTCCAATGAATTAATAAAAAATTAATGTTTTTTTTCTAAATCTGTCATAAGATGCGTAGTAACTCCTAACCACATTATTATCACTAACACATCATCTTATTTATTATACACTCGTTGACAAAGAATAGCCACAAACATCTATCTATCACTTACTTAGCTCATTTCCACTTTGTATTACTTCGAACAATATAAAACGTCTAACTAACTAGCACTAAATTACTAATATAACCTAGCACGAGACTAGAGCTTAGTTGGGGTGGTTAAAGGAAGCAGTGAATTAACAAAAATGTATTAATATATGCGATAAAAATCAAAAGTATATTTTACTATATCCGTGTGTGGTGTTTCAGGCGGGGATCCGCGTGGTGCACCTGGTGGACTACGTGTGGGTGGGGGCGTGGTGGCAGTGCGCGGTACAGGTGGCGCTGTCGGCGGGCGTGTTTGCGGTGCGTGGCCGCCCCTACTCCGCGGACGCGGTAGCCGCTGCTCTGCACCGCCCTACATCGCCGCTCGCCGCGCCCCTCGCCGCCCTGCTCGCCTTCACCTGGAGCGTGCTATTGCCCGTGCTGCTCTGTGTAAGTTCACATACACTCTGTATCTATACATACTCTATGTTAGTGTAGCTGCTCTATGTTAGTATAGCTACTCTGTGTCAGTATAGCTACTCTGTGCCAGTATTTCTGCTCTGTGTAGGTGTAGTTATTCTGTGCAAGTATAGCTACTCTATGTTAGTGTAGCTGCTCTGTGTTGATATAGCTGATTTGTATAAATGTAGCTACTCTATGTAAGTATATCTGCTATATGTAAATGTAGTTACACAGTGCAAGTATAGCTGCTCTGTAAAAGTGTAGTTACTCTGTGGAAGTGTAGCTACTCTATGTAGGTGAAGCTACTTTTTGCAAGTATAGCTGCTCTATATAGGTGTACCTACTCTTTGCAAGTATAGCTGCTCTGTGTATGTGTAGCTACTCTGTGCCAGTGTAGCTGCTCTGTGTGATATCTTTTCTGTCGGCATATGTTATTGGAGTTTTATAAGATGACTTAATGGTTGTTCCAGGCTATTTGTATTATGGATTTTCGGATTGGACAACAACGTCAGTTATATTCTTGGAGAAAACCTATAGGGTGAGTCACATAACCATTTTCAAATATATTTGAACTATTACTTCTCCTGTGAGTCGGGTTTATAGAATTTTTATTTTGTTTCCAGTTATTTTCCTATTTGGGCTCGTCAAGTGGCTGTGATGATGCAGCAAGGAGCCTTGCTGACTGTGCCTCTGGTCGCCTTCATACAGACCTGGAGGTACATGAATAAAGGACCCCCGGATATACTTGAAGTAAGATATTATACAATTTTCCAGTAGAAAACATGTTTCAAAACTCGTGTTATATGTTGCAACTTTCATGCGGCCAGGATTATACTTCAAGTGAATTTTTAGAAGATTTGGTAAGATTTGTGTGTACTCGATGGATCTTCCGTAAACTATCGGATGTTTGAAATTCAAATTTTAAAAAACAAAATTTTGGCAATTAATGCAATTTATTTTAACGCATTATCAAGACTATAACCATTTCTGTTAACATTTTCTTAAACAGAAATTAATATGAATCAAGTTAATTTAAAAAACATGAGGGATAAATCGTAAAATCATGTCTTACGATAGTCTACGTAGGAGCCATCCAATTATTTCCACCGCTTGTACATAAACATGTTGTCTCTGTATTTTCAATGAGTATGAGCGAGATGACAATAGTGTGTGTGAAACATAACACACGTAGTCGTAGTAAATAGAGTTTTGCTGTTTATAGTATTAATTATGTAATACTTGCTTTATATTATGAATTTAAAGTTTATTTAATCATTAATTTTTAGTTTTATACGACAACTTTATAGAAAACCGGCATAAAGTGTAGGTTTTAAATGGATTTGCTTTGCCTAAAAAAGTGTAAAATCTATGTTCTAGACGCTTCTATTGCCTATCGTTGGTGTTAATGTTGTTTGTTAAAATATATTAGTAATTCTGTACGCGAACATAACTTAAATCAGGTCTAGTCATCATCACCAGCTCACTATATGTCCGCACCGAGGGGCTCGGAGCCTACCCTAATAAGGGGTGACTAGGCCATAGTCAACCACGCTGGCCAAGTGCGGGTTGGTTGACTTCACACATATCTTTGAATTTCTTCGCTGATATGTGCAGGTTGCATCACGATGTTACCCTTCACCGTAAGAACGTCGGGTAAATTATGTACATATGAAAATTCGAAAAATCAAAAATCACATTGGTACATGGCGGTATTCGAACCCAAGACCTGTAGATTACAAGTTCAGTGCTTAAACCACTGAGCCACCGATGCTCATAGTACATGTCTAGTACATAGTAATAATTGCATTTATGTACAATTAAAATAATAAACTAGTTGTATAGTTGCATTTGTTCTGTGCTGTCTTTGTGATTATTAGATGTCGATTAATTCATTATTAATTGATTAGAATCTTAGTAATACATTAGAATAAACAGATGTTTCATTAACAAATTTATCATAAAATTTTCAAATTACGTTTGTTTACAATAAAAAAAAATACTTTAGTCAATATCTTTAAAGCATGTAATTAAATTCGTGTATATGTTTCCAGCGCATACAGAACCTGTACCGTCCTCGTATGGGCGTGTCGGGCTCCCCCCCGCCCCCGCCCCCGCCGCCCGGCGCGGCCCCGCCCCGCGCGCCGCCCGACCCGCCGCCCAAGTACACGCCGCCGCCCTCCTACTCCACCGCCACCGGCGCGCGCCTCCTGCACACGCTGCGCAGGAGCTTCCGCACGCTGAGGAGGTACTATTCTTTATTATATTTACTTATCTTACTTATATATATGATATCTCAGTTTTAAAAAGAAAATCAGTACCGCGCAGTAGATTGGCGCAACACTAGATTATTGCCATAAACGTCACATCTCTAACAGACAGCTGTCAATGTCTTTAGAAGGATAGATATTCGCGCGCATTCCTGACGGGATCACAAGTTCGGAGTGTTAATTAATATAGCTAGAAACAATTATATTAATTGTTTAAAAGTCGTTAAAACTGTTGAACGGATCTCAATGACATTCGATACAAATGTCCTTTACATTTAGACTGAAAGAACACATTGGCTAAATATTTTTCTTTTTAAATTTGGTTTGTAACATGTCAGCAATCACAGCATACTTTTTAATAATTATCTTTTTAATGTACACTTACACTTTACTTTTTACACTTTATAAGCTTTATATTTTTATGCTATTTAATTTAGGTACTAAATTGTAAAAATCGTCACGCGAGAAAGGGATAAAAACAACAAACCACTATCAGCAAAGAATTAAGATTGCCATGATAACGGTAATTGCTATTTTAATGACATAGGTTTTCGTTGTCATTTGTGCATTTGGATTTTGATATTTTTTTTTACATTTATTATAAAAAAAGTTTTACAAATGTAAACTTTTTTATAATTTCACGCAGAAGAAGCCGCATAGGAACCGCTAGCTTATAATATTAAAAATAGTAATATTATTTGTATACAATTACAGAATAACATCAGGTCGTTCAGATGCGCCTACGGACGACAGCGCTCAGATGCCCATCACCGTGAGCGAGAGTGTGGACCGCCGCCCCCCCTCGCCGCCCGCGCCCTCCATCACCCTCACAGACGAGACCGACCGCAGGACCTCCCGCAACTCACTCACACTCACACGTGACTTCCTCAGACGCTCCTTTGTTAGAAAAACTGATTCCACGAAATCGATTCGTTCGAGTTTACGACGTAGTTTCAAATACGGCGTGAGTTTGACGACCAGTCACGAGCAATTGGTAGGGGACGCGGAGCCTATTTCGAACACGGTCGCGATGTCCGCCATGTTGGGGGAGGGGTCTCCCCCACACACGCGTAGTCTCGGCTCCGTTATATGAATCGTGTACTTATTTAGTACTTATTTTATGTATTTCAACAGTTATGTATTTATTTTTGTTTTATTAGGAATGTTTGAGGTCTTTAATTTGAATCCCTTGGCCGTAAGAATATTTTTTTTTAACATCACATTTAATAATATCGACTTTTTTGTAGATAAGTTTACGTTTATTATGGAAAAAAAATGAAATTTACAATTATTTTTTAATGTACGTTTAATTTTTTTTAGTTTTAATCATACGAATTAGATCGAATCTCACTAACTCATTTTTATGGCGTCCATACTTTTATTGGCTTTTATTTTTTATTTAAAAAAAATTAGAGAGGTAAGCTGCATAATAAAATAATGTTTTTTTCTTTACATTTAAAATGTATCATTAACATATACAAATAAATATTTTTTCCAATATTCAATTATTTTTCGAATAAATTAATGCATGATTGTTTTTTTAATCTTTTTAACATTAAAACTGCTCAAATATAATTTGGACTCATAAATGTGTCCAAGAAATAAACTTAATATACTTAAACCCAGTTTTAGTAATTCCACTATTTAGGAAATTTTAGTTTAGTAAGAATAATTAGTAGTAAGTTTTTAACCAACGTATTATTTTAATATGAAATGTGTTCTTATTAGATATAAAAAGCCACGAGAGAAATTTTCTAAATCATAAAATTGATCAAATATATGCAATATCCTAATTTATATCAACAAATGGCAATAATGTTTTATAAGAATTATATGTATAGTATCGAGTAGTATATTAAATAAGCATTTTTATAAACATTAATAACAATACAATACTGATACACAAATTAAAAAAAATAAATGAGCATAAATTTCTTACAGATTAAGGTAAATACAAAAAAAAACTTATGGATGTTTCCCGTTAGATCGATGTATTCCATACAATCGGTCCAACGGGAAACATCCCTACGTATTAAAATCACAATTGTAAATCACATAAAAGGTAATACATAACTAGGGCCTTTTATATAGGCATGTAAGTATAAGTGTATTGTAAAACAAGACTTAATTATACATGTATTATCACATTATATTTGTGAAAAAGCATTATTAGTGGAAAATAAGAAATACGAGATAAGTACAATGATTTTAGGAGTTAGCATAATATTTCGCCTTTTCAGCATAATATATAATAGTCGGATATAGTTTTAAATCCATAAAGTTTTAAAAAGCTAATTTAATTGTAATAAAAACAAAACAGTTATTACATTTTCCATACAGTTAGAAATAATTTTGTTGAAACTATGTTTTTTAAATCTCTAATATCAGTTGTTAATATTTAAATCAAATGAGGTAGTTTAATGATGTGGTTAAAGTAAGAAAATGCCTTTATATTATGTGTTTTAACTCGCTCAAGAATTTTTCAACAAAACATTTATTTTACATATAAAAAAAAACCTCCACAACAAATTTTGTCGAGTGATTTTGTTATGTATTTGATGTAATGGATATTAAAATGGTAATTTTGTACTTTAACTCACCACAAAGCAGTTACTCTGTAATATTCAATGTAATGTCTGCGACACACCTTCGGTCTTACAGTTTTAATCGTACAGTTAAAACTGATGTGTATAGCGGGTTTAAAAGTAGCATCACTGCCATTACAACTATCTCTTTCATTCTCTTTAACGAAACAGAGAAAACATAAGTTTTAATTCAAGTGGCAGTAAAGTTCTAAATGTATTCAGTTGCTTCAATCAAGATCCGACTAATTTATCTGTATTATTAATTAGTTCCTTTCTATGCATTTACCAGACGCTTATATTTTTGTGTTCTTCGAAATTTTTAGTTTCTAGTCACTCATTCGGCTTCCATTAAAAGTTTTTGTTTAAATCGATCACAATTACGACATCACATCTAGATATATATTATTTTTTAATCGCGCACATTTTATTTGCACAGATTTTTGCTTTTACATTTACCTTTCATTTAATATATTTTTAATTTTTACATTCCAACTGTATTAACTAGTGTAAGCAATAAAACGTTTTTTACAACCTGTTTTTTTATTATTCCATTGCTTTTTCTTAGTCTTAAAAATTCAGAGACAAAGTTAAATGGAGAAAGGTTTAAAGATCCTTTTTTTATTTTATATCGAAAATCAAAATTGATTAAAAAGTAATTATTAATAATTTAATAAAGAAAATAATGGCAGGTTGATTGAATCGAAAATATTGTCGTTCGTATGTTGGGCTTTCATTATTGTTACTCTATAGATGGCGCTAAATTAGCTTTTAACATAATTCACCACTCCATCACTAGATGGCAGTCAATTTATTACGCCGAAAATCTTGTACGCGATGTAGAGTTTCATATCAACGGAATGACTTTCGCTGGTTGATAAAACATTGGTATCGCTTCTCGGCCTTTTGGCTAAGATCAAAGTGTAGTATCTGTTCTTTTCAGCTTAATATCTGAAAGTTCCCGCACTGCGGGACCAGTATATTAAACTGATTTTTGTAAAACGACGGGATGTTCGGGGCTCGCTCCACTCCCGTCACGGGTCGGCCCGGCATTGCAGTGCCGCCGGGATCGGCCCACATATTTAAATAAAGACATTCGTATTCAAAGTAATTCGTAATAGAGTTCCAACGAGTACGAGTAGTTACTTCTCTGAGGGGTAAGGGAATCTCCACTGGAAATGTATCTACTATCTACGTTTGCCGGTCTCATTTTTGATTAAAATAAATTAGGTCTTTTTATACACACACATACCATTTTACCATTTAATGTGCTGGTGGCATTATTTTTTAAGAATACTGGTTAACGGACAGACGATTTTAGAACCTCCCCTTTTTTTGAAAGTCTGTTCTCTTCAATTACGAGCAATATAGTTTTAGCGCTGCAAGAGTATTTTTTTATACATCAGAAAATCTGTAACCTTGTTTGTAAATAAACCAAAAGTAGTAAACAATCAAATTTGATATTATTGACACGATGGATTTAGCGGATTTGGAACTATTGGAGATAGAGACGAGCCAGCCACAGTCCCGGCAAACTGATAATCATCGCATTCGTGGAAACCCTTTTGAATTTGAACCAATCATTTTCCAAAAGATTTTGGAAAATCGTTAATATTTTCGCGACGCTCAATTCGGGACTCGCTTTCTCTTGTGATATATGCAGGCAGTATCACTATTATTTCCTTTAACGTAAAATTGGACTTATTAAATTCTAAATTGAGATTAACCTGATATACAATGTACGACAATTTTAAATAAAAAAAAATCAAGGTTCATTATTTTTATTCAATAAAATAACACAGTTATTAATTAAAATCGTCTTAAACACCATTAGGGTAGAAAACAATACACATTGTGAGCCGCAAAATACTAATATAAAGTCAGTGAACAAGGAGGCCGAGGTTGAGAAATGAAGTCTCTCCATGAAACTAATTACAATAAAACTAAAACAGAATGAAGGAAGAAAATTATACATAGATAACATTTTACGACCTCAACTTCACTTGTTGAAAAACATTTCAAAATATAGACAAGTCGTAACAAATTCTTAATACATTCGTAAAATTCGTAAAGCAATACAAATTAACCTTTCAGTCTTTAAATCTAATTGCCTTACTCAGAGTCGTAAAATTTAAGACTCAGAGTATGTCATTTAATTCTTAATACGCGTATTGCAGTCAAAAATACGTTGTTAACACCTGTCTATATTGTCAAAAGTTTTTAGAAAAACAACAATCCAAAATCTGTAAAATTAAAACTCCTAACCAACATAACAAAGTTGATTAAACGGCGTAAAATGATTTTACAACACCAGTGTACATATCCTAATACATAAAACTTAATTGATTACAACAGTAAAATTATCCACTAATGTGTACATCACAATATTCAGTCAAAAGTTCACAACAAACGTCGTAATGTCAATTTATTATCTTATCAATGAGTTCATGTTGAGTAGAGATTTAGCAGCCTTCGAGTCTGTGGGGCCTTTCTTCTTGGACGGATCCAACATGAAGCATTTCCAAAGTCTGGAAAAAAGTTGAAAAATATACATGTAAATTAATTCAAAATACTAAAGTGACTACAACTAGAGAACCACATAGATACATAACTTTTAATTATAAAAACTTTTACAAGTTTTTTCATTAAAAACTTAGACGATATTGACAAGCTTTTTGGAATAAAAAAAAGTATGTTTTTCAAGCTCCGCACCAGCCTTTTATACGGCTGCCTCCTTCCTTCCTAAACGGCTTGCCCCTTCTCCATCAACTGCTTGCTCCCTCTTCCTTCATCAACTCCTTGCCCACCCTACATCAACTACTCGTGACGCCCACGGTAATCAAATGCCACGCCCCTGTTGTCACATGTGGCATGTAGCTTGTTGTAAGTGGCATATATCTTTTTGTAAGTAGCATGTAGCTTGTTGTAAGTGGTATGTGGTGTGTGGCATGTGGCATGTCGTGTGTCACCTGAGCGTCTCGTCAGCGCCGGCGGAGAGCACGGAGGTGCCGTCCGGCGAGAGCGCGAGGTGCAGCACGCGCGCCACGTGCCCGCCGAGCTCCGCCACGCGCGTCATCGTCGGGTACTTCCAGATTATCAGCTGGTTGTTGGCGTACCCGTGACCGGATATCAGCTCCTTGTAATGCGTGCTCCAAACGATCGAACACACCTGAAATATTGCGTTTAAAATTATTAAATTTCGCCCGCGATTCCGTCCGTGTAAATTTAAAAAAGATAACTAAGTAGCATATGTTCTAAGCCTATCCTCTATATCTATGAAAAATTTAATCGAAATCCGTTCAGCAGTTTAGGCTATAAACTCATAACAAATCTATCAAACTAAACTTTTCGCATTTATAATATTATATAAGAAGAAAGATTTACGAATGGACATAGGAGATGTATAGGAAATATCCCCTATCTAAGCGTCTCCGTAATCACCAAAACCACTTATTCTTTATTAGAAAAGACTGGAAATAGATCTAGTCTACAGAGTGTGTCGTTAGTGTTGTGTACCTGTGACTTGGTGTCGACAGTGTTAAGGTTGGCGCCAGTGCTGACGTTCCATATCCGTATAGTGCGGTCCGCTGTGCCGCCGCCTGAAGCCAGCACGCCAGCGCTCCACGGACACCATGCCAAGCCCTTTACCGCCGCCAGGTGCTGACTGAAAAATAACATACAATTTACGTGCATGGCTCATATAACGATTTTCTGTAATTATAATTAACTTTTGCTCGCGACTCCGTCCGCGTTATTAAAAATCTTAGTAGCCTACGTGTTCTATCTATATCAAAGTGACAAATTTCATCAATATCCATTGAGTCCTTCTGGAAATACCTTCCAACATTCATCCATCTACAATTTAGAACTTATTATAAAAGTAAGATAAATTAATGTCATTACAAAAACATTCATTGCTGCGGATTTAAGTAATTCTGCTTTTCTGACATTAATTTAAAAAGTATACAGAAACCTGCACAAATTTACTTTTTCCTTTGGAAAATGCTAAAAATTGCTTACTTTAGATTTCAGATTACTTACTTGAAGGAGTATAGGTACTGTGGCTGAGAGTAGTGCTGTCCCTCCGCGAGCGGCCAGATGTTGAGCAGGTTGTCGTTGCCGCCCGACGCCAGGTATTTACCGTCCAGCGACCATTTCAAACCACATACCTAGAGTTTTATATTAACATTCACATGTTGCTGGATTTAATTAAAAAATCATTGAGTAATTTTTACTGATAAAATATTTTAGATAATTTAGAATCCTATCCTATGACTTTAAGATTGTTGTAAAATTTTTTTAAATTCCTTTTACTGGTTTGTCAAAGACAAACGAGCAAGCGGTCCCTGAAATTCGCCAAAATAACAAAGCAACAGCCGCCCATAGATATCCGCATTTGCAGATGTATTATCTACTTTTATTCGACTTGGACAGGATGCACAGAGACTATATTACACTTTCTATGCTTTCCTTCCAATATCATATCAACTTTCCTTTCCCATCCTCTCCTTATGAAATAAGCTTGGAAGGGATAGTGAACTAAGATTAGGCCTTTAGAGCGCTTAACCCTTATGTTATTCGAGTTTTTTATATATTCAGAATCAGCGAATTTTTCTGCGTCGTTTGAACCGGGTTTCATAAAGATCAGAGCACTTTTGTGGCGCTTGAAACAATCAAAATGTAGGTGTCTTTTTTTTTCTAAAAATGAAAACTTTAAGTGTTTCTCCTGAACATTTAACCTAATAGCGCTTAAAACAACTAGTCTTTCACCCATCGATATATAAGTCAATATCGCCTAAAATGGCGGTTAAAACAAGTAGCCTTTCACACGTCGATATGTGTAACCATAGCAGTGGTAGTGCCTGCTTTAACATCTTAGCAGGAATGGGCCGGAACGCCCCCAGTAATACCACGACCACACAGAAGACAGGCGTGCAATGGGAGCAATTCCGTGTTTCGTCTGATGAGTGTGGTGCCGGAGGCCTAATTTAAGACCCCTTCTCTTTACCACCCTTTTCTTATAAAGAGAGGTTGGGAAGAGGAAGTGGATTTGACGGTGGAGGAGATGCGTAGGAAGAGGAAATATCCTCTTTATGTGCGCCTCCTCCTCCGTCGTATAAGGGTAGGCAACGCATCTGCAATTGCGGATGTCTATGAGCAGCGGTCGCTTTTCCAGTTTGGCGGTTTCAGATGGTCGCTTGCTCGTTTGCCACCTTATGTTATATATAAAAAAAAATGTATTACGCACCTCCCTAGTGTGCGCGTGCAGCGTGGCTCGCACGTGGTCCCGCTGGCGCACGTCGTGGTGCACGATGTTGCCGTCGCGCGCGCCGCTCGACAGCACGTACATGTTCCACGCCAGCGCGCCCACGCGACCAGAGTGCCCGTCCATTAGCTGACACATAATTCATCACAATAGAAAAACATACCTTGGAGCTTGGCTACCACTAGCGAAAAATTTAAAGTAAAAATATATATTGCCATCGTCTTCGTTAAAGTGAAATAAAAAAAAAACTCTATTAGACTGTGATCTAAATCTGTGACGAATTTCAGTCACTAAACCCTTCTGGACATATGTAACAAACATTCTATGGATCTAAACTTTTGCATTTGTATTATTCGCAGAAAGTAAGATAAAAAATACTTAACTAGGTAAAGCTTAGACACACCTTTTTATTTTATCTTCAAAACACTAAATATGTTTTCTTTTTATTTTGATAAACATATATGGATAAACATTCACTCATTTATTGAAAAAAATAGCTATTTTTACTTCTTGCCATCTCATTCTAATTCATCTTGCCCTCTGTAGATCGCTTGGCTGGCAGTATGAGGAAATCATGGTTAAATATAAACAATAACCATACTCACCCTTAACCTTTTGGTCTTGGAGCAGTCCCACAGTTCAACAGTTGAAGAGGAGGTGCCAACTGCCAGGTGCGGAGACCCTCCCTGCACCCAGGACACGGAGCTGACTGTCTCCGAGCCCTCCAGGGTCAGGAGCTGGTCAATCTGCCCTGTGCCAGCGTTCCACAAGTATACAGCATTACCGAGAGCTACTGCCACCACATTTGATGAACTCCAGTCAACTAGATTGAGATCTGGAATGGAAAATGAAAATGATTTATTATGTACTCATTATAAAGATGTTTTTATTATGTATGTAATGAATAAACTTAAAAAATAAAACATTTTCATGTATTGCTACTTTTTTATTTAATATGAGCAGACAAAGTGGTGAATAAAAGCTAGTATTAAGAATAAACACAATTGCACATTTTAAAATTCACAGTACCGGATTTTCCATTTGATAATTAACATTTTCTATACCAATAAATCATCTGGAGAGTTCAGTTTCAACAAAATCATAGTTGCATATAAAATGCGAAGAAATTAAAAACTTACAATAGTCATCCAAAATATCAGGAGCGTCAAGTATTCTTTCAGGAGCTTGTGGAATGTATCTTGTGTTGTTTTTTACTGTTGAAGGAACTTTGGCCTGAAAAATTAATTAAATAAAACATGCTATAACCCCTTTTGTCTTTACTTATATTAAGGTAAATAGTAACAAGTAAATAAATAATATTAATGTAAAAAAATCCATATTAAATGTACAGTTTTTCACTATACTCTAGTAATCTATCCCAACTTTGGTCCATATCCTAAATTACTTGTTTGAAGACATTTACGCATTTAAATTGGAAAGACGAATTTTCGAAAATAAAAACAAAGTAGTGCTTCTAAGTAAAAGGGAACATATAAAAATGTTTTAATTATAATAAAACTAAATTTCATCTACTTTTTTAAATCAATGTAAACATTTACAAGTAACCACATAAACAAGGAACTGTGATGGAAAGTTCTGGTATTAAATGTACTTAAAAAAAATCTTAAGAATACCTGTGAGTATACAACTCGTAATCTATTCTGGTATCCTTCGGGTGCGGCAGGGGCTTTACATGTGTACTGCAGTAGGCGTCCAGGCTCAGTGTCAGTTAGTACCCGTCCAATGGCCTCACTTGCTGCAATTTGTGACACAGCTTCTTCACTTTTCTCTTCATCACGACTCATCTAACATAAAGATTTTGAGAAATGGTTAAAAATCAATTATAATGTTATGGGAGCTTTTTTTCTTTAGCTCCTAAGGGCTGAATGATATTTAGTGTTTTGGTACCATTAAAAGTTATTTTTAAAGGAAATATTACACTTTAATTGCTAAAAAATTTAATGTGTTTTTAACTTTTTTGGATTTAAGAAACTACCAGCTGTCTTCAGCAAGTCTTCACACAATTAAAAAAACCCAATTAGCAGTTTATACATCCTTCCATACAATGTTTAGGTCTTTGGTTTGTAATAATCCATCTATCCATTATAACTTTCACAATTATAATATTAGTAAGATTTATCTCAGATACTTCACAAACCTCTCATCTCATACAAACATTCTTTATAAAGATTGTTGTTAAAAATTGAAAAAAAATGAGAAAAAATGTTAACAGATTCTTACCATGTAATGGCACAAGTCATAGTTGGAGTTGCTTCTAGAAGGTATAAATCTGTCAGCTTTGTTGGGTGTTTTCGAAGCTTTGTTGGGAGTTGGAGTAGTTGATCGACCTGCAAAGGGTACCGTTAAACATCTGCAGAAGTGTACTTGTAAACAAAGAAAACTCTGTATCGAAGGTTTACTAATATTAACTGTTCTAAAGACAACCTTTTTCTACTTGATTTTCTGCAGTTTACTTACCTGGAGACTTCGTTTTACATGGAGTTTTCTTGCCTTTCTTATTTTCATTTCTTGTGGGTGTCTTACTATTAGATAAAGCACTATTATTGCAGCTTTGATTTGCAGTAATCGAGAGTTTTTGCAGAGATTGATTGCAAGAACTTAAGTTTGCATTTGAAATGTTTTTCAAAGATGAGCTTAATGAGGGATTAATGTTTTCGTTGTTTGACTTCTTGACCCATCTTTGCAAAGGTCCTCTAGTTATAGGCCCGTCCATGGTGGCTAAACTATTTATTTCGTTCAAGTAGTTAAACTGGGCCATCCCTCGCTATAACTGACGACACAGTTTAAAATTTATAGATTTTAAAACTACTGTTTCATAAGTTCAGATAAATTTTATCAATCAGACACACCAGTAAAATAATTTTACAATAATTAAAATAGTAAATTCATAAGAACACGTTCAACTGGCAAACACAAACAACCGTTGAGATTTGAAATTTTAAAATGGCTTTGAAGTTTGATATTGACGCATATGACACATTTCAGTTTTGTGTCACAGATAACCTAGCACGCATGTCAAATATAAATCTCTATGGTTTTTCTTAGTGTTGATCTCGTAAATCCCACTTAATGAGTACTTTTACCAGTTGTTTTTAAAAGTGAACCAATACCAACTTTCATTTTAAATTGTTGCTAAATAGTAGCTGTTGCTAAGTAGTAGTAGTTCGTGGGAAGGAATGGATGAAATAATTTCAACATATACGAAAAATAGTTTATTTCAGAGACTATATAGCTCATCATAATAAAACTAACATACTAAAAGTTCTAAAAATATAGTTTTTATATTTATTGCATAATTGATACAAGTTAATCCACGATCATAAAAACACGATTAATTTAAATGCATTGTTGAATCCGTAAGTATTATTTTGATGGACCACATCAAACTGGTATTAAATTAGGAACAGAATTGTAGAAATGCTAGATTGAGCATTATAGTTTACATAACATCTTAATAACTATTCATATTTTAAGCAGAACAGAGATGTACAATTGCACAAAAATCTCCGTATGTACCCAAATTCAACACCTATTTATAAAATTAACCTACAATGTTATAGCACCATATTTTAAAAAGATACAAAACCAATAATACCTTATCCGGGAAAGAAAAGGCGGAAAGACGCCTCTTAAGTTACACACGAAATGTTGTCATTTACTATACAAAATGACATTTCGAAAAAAGTCTTTCCATTAGACGTCAAAATTGTCTGAATGTATAAAACTCTCCATCCATTGGTTAAATATCTATGTGTAAAACTTAATTATGATTAATACGAGATCTTTTCCATATTGGAGATATTTACACATTGAAAGGAAATGATTCAATCAAATGCAATTTACAAATACAAAGACTTACAGTTTTTAACAAGAATTTCAATTTTTTTACACCATTGCATATTTCAATATGATTCTTATTATTTAGAGCGGGCGTAAACCTTTGACTTACACTTTCGCACAACTGTTGTGCGTTTGTCGATTGTATCGGAGACCATTCAAGTGTTTAGTTGCACAACTAAAAATCGAGTAGTCTACGTACCTCTATAAAACAGTTGTGCGATAGTTTAGTTTCAGGAGTGCGCACGCCCATAATGTTTCACTTAACATAAAATATAAGCATTTGTGACTTTTTTACTATAACAAAGCTATTAAAAATAACTTTTTTCGTGACTAAGTATGACATAAATTAACAGGCACTTTTCCGTAACATAATTACATTCTGAATATAGCTTAAAAAAGTAATTTATTTAAAACATATTGACAATGCTACTAAATATAAATGCACATAGAGAGATACTTTTAAACAGATTCATTAAAGGAATAAGACCATATACTTCTTCAATGGAGCACTTAATCTTTGAAAAAAAAAATATAAAAAAAACGTTATGACGATGACCTTATTATTTTTTATGCTTTTAGAGAAAATATTCGACTAAAATATATTTATAAATACAGCAAATGCCGTGGATGGTGGGTTTTTCTTACAATTAACTCCTACATGTACTAATTTAACAATATAATTATTCAAAAATTGTGCGTTATATAATTTGATTATTTATAAATAGTACGTTAAAGGCGTTATAAAAGCATTGATTTGCTCCTTTTAGCACTCTGAGATACAATAATTAATTTGAGACTTTTACAATTACTAGAGATATGGCAGTTTTTGTGGTAGTTTAAATTTTTTAATGAGACGCCTTTAAATTGTATTAGAAAGACAATAAAGCAACTTATTCTATATTTTTAAAACTAAATTGTTCTAACTTAAACATGTAAAATTATTGTTCAATTATTCGATTATAAAAAAAATATAAACACAATATTTAGTACACATTTTTCGTTGTATTGCTTTACGTATATAATTACGTAGTCTAAAAATTGACAAGTTATTGAGTGATTGCTTAAAAATTATCAAATTTGAGCATTAAATTATTTAAATACATTAAAACAATCAAATGGAGCAATTATTTACGTATTTCATAATAAAACTAATGCAATTGTTCAATTACGAAAATGATTCGCAGATAATATTAAAATGAGATCTGGAAATAACCAGGATAATAATTGAAGATTAAAAACAAATTTAAAAATGAATTATAACATCTAACGTATCATCAGAATCTTCTAAATTGTTCATAAAACATATAAAATGTCTAATAATTATTCATAATAAAAATATATGTACTGGATTTGCATTTCACTAAAATCTGTTTGCATACAATTCCTAAACATATTCATAATTCAAATTAACTATAATAATTAAAATAAAAATGGCAGTTAGAATTAATTTCACTGTTTTTTTTCGACTCTTAAAGGGCAACACTAACAAAACTCTCGCCTTATAGATTAACACTAACAAACTGTCGACACCAAAGAGACTCAAAAAATATATAGAATAAGCATAGACACTTCACTAGAAACATTTTTTACTAATCTTACTAGTGCCTGGTGTCTGATATTTAAAATCACAAACAAACAGACACTGAGAAGTGTCTTGGTGTCAAATTTGACAGAGATATTACCGTACAAAGAAGTTACCAGTGACAAAAATCTTGTTAAGTATCTATATATTTCTTAAATGTCTTTGCAACATAAAGAGGTTAACATTAACAAACCTGTCGACTTAGGGCCTGTCCTACCAAATTGAAAATTGTCTGATAACAATCCAACATGTAAAAAATGTGATGGAAATATCGGGTTTTGTTACTTTATCTGACAGTGATCATTTTGCTATCTGAGACTCTATCAGCCAGTGGTGGGACAGGCCCTTAAAGAGGTGAAGAGTAACAAACGTTGTATTGCTACGTGTTCGCATGCATTAAGTTCATGATATGTATGTGTCCGGGATGGTCCACTGTCACGAAACAAGAAAATTTCTCGTCACAACAAAGTTTCTTCGCGTTAACACCGGATAATTTGATGCAAGCTAGAATTTCTTTCTTCTTTGAACCCTCTTTGCAACTGAAAATAAAAAAATTGAATTACTAATGGTTTTCTTAATAATCTTAAAGTAAACATATTATTAAGATTTCTACAAACTTAATTACATCACTTTCTAGTGTGCGCAAAGTAATTACTTCCATGTTTTTTCTGAAACTCTTGCCGTAGAATTTTATATTCCCGGACAAGCTTTACTGTAAACTACAAAATAATAGCTTATTACAACTTCCAAATAATTTATATTTTGTGATCTATGTGCTAGCAACGCCAAACTAATTGTGTATGACAAAATATGATAAACTATCAAATATATGTATTAAGAATCAAACTGCAATAATTCAATAATTACTCGTACCACTGAACGCAACTCGATCAAAATTTGGATAGTCTGGAAACACATATAGGCTACTAACTTTTTTGATTCACGCAGACGGAGTCGCGGGCGAAAGCTAGCTAGATTATATTGATAAAAATATACATACGTTTTCCCTTTCCATAAGCATTTCCAGCATTCGTGCGCGTTCATGAGCCCGTTGCCGAAGAAGAAGTTACTGGTTGCGTTCTGTATGTGCAGGCTGTCCATCGCCGCGCTCAGGCTCGCCGCCTCCACTGGACTCGCGATTGGCGTCACTGCATTCCAGCGATTCCTAACATGACATACGACAAAAACTTAATGTTGTTTGTATTTGACCATTTGTTACTCAACTATCCACTTGATTTAGTTTTCCGTACTTAATTTCACTAAAGAGCTAAGATTTTATCTAAATAATAATTATTGTATATGCAAGTTGTAGCCTAAACAGCTGAACGGATTTCGATGAAATTTGGTATAGATGTAGAGGATAGTCTGGAAGAACATGGCTATGAATATGGGCTACTCATTTTCGTTTTTTTAAATTCCACGCGGACGGAGTCGCGGGCGAAAGCTAGTTACATTATAATTAAATACAAGACACGAAAACTAATTTTGTAAGAAAATATTTACATTGACTTTCAAAACAAAATAACATACCTCCAAATATTGTTTTTATTCACTATAGTCTTCATGATATGGGTAATATTCCACCAGACGATCTCCGCTGCCATGGTGACGAGCACGAGGGGCGGGGCGTCGTCGTCTGGGGCGGGGGCGGGGGACATGGGGCCAGAGGCAAAGCCGGGGGCGGGGGCCAAGGGGCTGGGGGAGTGGGGGCCGCCCCGCGACAGCCGCTCCGGCACGGGGGAGAACCGACACCACTGCACCTTCGTCTTGTGGTGCTTCAGGAACCGCAGCTGCCGCTGGTTGCCCACGTGCCACACCTGGAACATAAACATTGCAATTAGGTCGAAAATTTAATCTATACATATAAAATAGGAATGTCCGTTTGTGATATGAAAAGAAAAATTCCAGATTTCGGGAAGAAGGTGTATTTGAGTTGGTGATAACGAAAAATGAGTTTAAAAATCTTTGTCTGTTTGTCCGTAAGCAGCGTTTGTTCGGGGTAATCTTCGAAACGGCTGGGCCAATTTTGACGGGACTTTGACTGAAGGGTAGCTGACACGGACGGCCATATTATAGGCAAGCTTTTTTTAATTCCGGCCGGACCGCTATCTCTGGAAGTGAGGAACGATTTGGCCCGTCCAACTGACTGAAGATAGCTGGTAGAAGGTAGATGCACGTGGGAATGTTATAGACGACCTTTTTTTTTTAATTTCGTGCTAACTTAATGTGCACACAATAGTTCGTAGTAACATACAAGCTTATGCGTAGACAATATATTTGTCAGATATTTTAGTCGCTCTTAAGTTCGCGCGTCTCGTAGATTAGGTGGTCATAGGTATAGCGGAATGTGGGGATACTTTGTTCGAGCACGATATTTGAATATAAGTATACATACAATGACGTTCCCGGAGTCGAGTCCCATAGCGAGCAGGGAGCCGTCGGCCGCGAGGTCGCAGCAGACAATGCGGTTGTTCAGCTTGTATGTCTGGATCGGCTGCAGCACTAACTTCTCTCCACGCTTCAGTTCATACGTCTGGAATTACAATGAATATACTATTTTACTAATATTAAAAGCTTAAAAACTAGTAATAAAAATAGCCTTCTAACGGCAAAACATTTTTTGGAATCGATCAAGTAATTTTCGAATTTCAACATTCTTTACAAAAATACCATCGTTCCTCTTTTTAATATTAGTATAGACTTGTTTTACCTTATTAGAATTACTTTTAAACAAAATATTAGTAAAGATTATGTTTCACATAGTAGTTATAGAAGGCTAGAGATGTACACTGTAATGGCTGGCTGATAGAAGCTCAGATAGCTTAATAATGACGTCACTGTCAGATGAGGAAACAAAATCCGATATTTCCATCACAATTTTACACGTTGGATTGCTAATATTATCTACAAGAATTTGGTAAAACTGCCTTTAAAGATGTAAGGCATACCCATAAAAAGGCTGGAAATTCAAGCTTACGGTGAGTTAGTTCTATTAGTGCTTTGTAATTATAAAATTCTGTTTGATTTAGTGCATTTATCATAATCTATAACCCTTAAATGAATAAAGAGCAACAAAATAATAAAGTACAAATAAAATCCATAGAAATACAATTCCAACTAACCTGAAACCTATGATAGTCATCACAAATCGCCAATATATTCTTCTGGAAGGCTGCACAGTTGACATAAACATCCGTCTGTCGTCCATTCAGTATTTTGGCGACTTGTAGGTTGCAGTCCCACAGTTTGACGATGGCGTTAGTTTCCACTGTGACGAGGCCGACGTCGAGCCAGAAGCACGCCACGAGAGCGCTGGCCTTGCACAGCCCGCGCGCCTCGCCGTTGGGGAACAAGCGGTCTCGAGAACTTATACTGCCATCGCTGCTTGATGCAGATATCTTCTCGGGGCTGATTTTTTTCTTAAACCCTGAAATAAATACACAAACCTATGATAATGAAAAACTTTGACTTTAGCGTTAACGAGTGTTAAGAAATATATAGACTAGACATAGTGAAGTTAATACAGTTTTTTTCACTGGTACTTTCTTTGGAAGGTGCCACCTCGTATTTTGTATTGACATGTAGTAAAACATTTTACAAAATTATAATATCCATCCATCTGTTGTCACAAAATCATACTAATCATACTATGATACTTATAAATGCGAAAGTTTAGATGGATGTATGGATGGATGTTTGTTAGAGTTTGTAGCTTAAACGGATGAACGGATTTCGATGAAATTTAGTATAGATGTAGAGCATAGTCTGGAAGAACACATGAGCAACTTTTTTTTTAATTCCACGCGGACGGTGTCGCGGACGTAAGCTAGTAAAAACTAAATATGATTCAATTAATTACATTGATATGTGGCTTAGAGGATCTATTAATAGATAGCGTTAGTGACATTTGAAAAAAAAAATGTTAACAATGTTTACTCTATGTTTTTTAGATGGTTACTCTTTGGTTAAATGTAACTTTTAACAATACATTTTCTGTCCGGTTACACAAATTTTCATTACATTTGGCTAACACACTTCAAAATGACTAAAAGCCATTAAAAAAGCAGGACAATAAGAACATAAATAGCGTAAAACATACCTTGTATATCATTTAATATTTCCTGAGATCCAAGAAAGCAGTTCCCTCGTTGAAGCATTTCAGACTTCCAATCCCCATCAGTAGTAAATCGATATGCCATCAAACATCTATTTTTACCCGCAACTATCAATAAATCGGGGTTAACAAAATTCATATACAACACAGGACTGTAAACATCTAAAATATCCTTAGTTTCTTTAGTCCTTAGTGCATATTTAGTGACGATACCAGTACTTAATCCGTAGATAATATATTGATTGCAAGGAGATATCTTAACCGCAGTTATTTGGTCGTCAGTTTTAGGCGATATTTCTGTTAGAAGTTTTCTACCGCGCATTATCTGGGAATAGTAAAACATATATCGTTAACTGAGGGAGCTACTTAGTACAGATTTACTAAGAGAAATAATTACTTCGAGTATATTAAATAATTATTAACGGACTCTTTATCAAAAAACGAAACTACAAAAGATTCAAATGTTATGAATAAAAAAAATATTTTAGTATCTTACAAGAAAAGGTTGGGAAGGGTAACTTAGGGTAAGGGAAGGGATTTGACAAGGATGAGTCCCATCCACTGTTGAAGGTAGACAAAGCATTCGTAAATGCGGATGTCTATGGGCTGAGTTTAATTCGCTATTTTGTCGAATTTAAATGGGCTTTGTCAATACTATAAAGACTTTTTTTTAATTATTTTGTAGTGTACTTATCTATTTATCAATTACACTACATTTATTTATTAAATTACATACACACATCCACACTCATACAACATCACACACATTCAAATACTTTACACATTATTACATAATCATACTTTACCTGTATATTATTTTTATCATCAACAACAGCCAGCAAAGGTTGGGTCCCGCCATCATTGTTTCCATTACAGATGCCCTTCAGGTTCAGTGGTTTTAGGTTATGTCTGTCTAAACTCATGGTTTTCTTAGCTAATTTTTTCTCTATTTCCTTATGTGTAACAAATGATTTGTGTCTCCTGGGCGTGGTGTCCTGACTGTGGGTGCCGCTGGGCGTGCTGCTCGGAGTTTGAGGGGACACGGTCCCCATGAAACTCACGTCGAATGTTGTTGTTAGTCGGACTTTGCTGTTGAAATTTATTAAAATTATGCTCTGAGTGTACTGTCATATTCTTTGGTATAGTAAGTATATATTATACAAGCTATTGCTCGCGACATCGTCCATATGAAATTAAAAATTTAGCCTACGTTACTCGATATCGTAGCTTTTTAACGGTGAAATCGACCGAGTAGTTTTTGAGTTATATCAATATGTAAATATAAATCTTTCCTCTTTATAATATTAGTATAAATATAGGTTTAGGTAAAATGTTTTTTGTCGAAATTTAATCAAATAAAATTTAATGAATATAGTATTTGCCACAAGTTTTAATTATTGAAAATATTGGTAACAGAAATAATCTACAAAAGCGAAAAAGTTAGTATTCACGGTATCTAGCACGAAAAAGTATACTTAACGTTAAAAGTATAAACAAAATTTATATTAGATTTGTGCAGCGCTTTCGAGCATACTGACAAACCTCATACTTTACCGAGAACTGTACGAGTGTCGCAAATTTTCGTGCTCGGCCCCCGGCACCTGTTACTCACCTATTCCTGTGTGTATTCTGCGAGACGTAGGAGGCGTCTAAGAACCACACCTTGGCGGTGTTCTCCACACTGCCGGTGCCCGTCAGCAGCACGTCGGAGCCCGGCAGCAGCTCGTCCCACATCATCACCTCGCTCACCGCCATTGACGTCACGTTGCTGGGAAATATACAAATCTTTATATAATAAATGCGAAAGTTTAGATCGATGGAAGTTTGTTAGCGTTTGGAGCCTAAACTATTAAATGGATTTGGATGACATTTATTTTTGTTTTTCTTTAATTCAACGCGTACGGAATCGCGAGCGACTGCTAGTTATAAATGATTACGTTTTTATATTTCGTAGATATATTGATATCTGTATTTACAGAGGGAACAATGAAAAGCATACATCTACTTCTTCTTGTCCTATGTCCCCAAAGTGGGGCAGAGGCATGTTAATATTTTTACATGAAGTACTATCATGTTTTTAAAGCAGTCATTTCGATTTTTCATTTATTTTGTGAAAAGTGAAGTGATAATCTAAAACAAGGACAGCTAAATTTATACACTAATGTTTACCAGAAATAATTAACAATTTACGAGTATAAACGACAAAGTTGGAGTTTATATAATATTTCGCCTTGTACATAGAAAGAGAATACTCAGACACTTCAATATGAACAACATAATATTAATACATACCCTCTCCTATTATCCAAATCGAACACTCTTGTATTAGTCTTGAGATCAACACAGATGACACGACTGTCATCCGTCGCCACAAACAGCAAGCTGCCTGATTTATTGACCTCAGCTGACACAAAGCACACATTCCCTTTGACCTCCTCACTAGTTAAAACTCTCCGGCAAATGTACACATTGCATACATTTTGATATGACCCGGGGTTCATTTTGTATTCATGTTCCGTTATATTTGTTTCCGATAGAGTTATTATTCTGTTACTACCTGGAATTATTTGAGTCAGTTCAGAGTACTCCTATGTAAACTATAGTATGTTTGAAATTAAAATTGTTGCAAACAAATCTTTAAAAATTAATACAATTAGGGTGTATCAAACAAACAATAGACAACCAATGTCTACAGTTAAAGTTACTTTTGAATTCACACAGATATGTATTTGTTAAGTTAATTTAAATAGTATAAAATAAGGTGCAAATCGTAAAATTATAGCTTATGATAGTCTGCGTAGGAGCCATCAATGTAAGAAAATGTAGTAGCAATGGTTGTAGATACAAATATGCTGTTCAATATGAAATGTTTGTGTTAAAACCATATTAGTAAATTATTTACAGAACTTAGTAATATTTTACACAAAATAAGACAGAAGTGTTAAATTAGCAAGGTTTGTTTAATTAATTAAAACAAGATTTAATTAACATTAGAATAAAATGTCAAAGATTATAAAATTTTAGATTGATAACTTTTTTATCTTTAAGTTAATTGTGAAAAACATCTAGCAACTAAAGATAATGTGGTCTATGTTTTAAAAATGTAATGAAGGATCACATTGTCTTCTTATTTGTTTATAAGATTTTACAATGCAAAAAAAAAAAATTAAAATTATACATGTATAACTTATAAAAATATATTTTAATGCACAATGGAGCTACCCTATATGATATTTTTGTATACATTCTTACCTTCATACAAGTCTTTAAGCTAAAAAATAAATAAATATTGTTCATTTCAAATAACATTTGTGTCTTTAATTACCATATTGGTATTAACTTCAATTTATTTTTACATTAAAATCAGTTTTAAATATGTTAAAGTATAATAACTTACCTGGTATCGTCAAAATGTTGATTATAGGTTCAGATTCTTCATATGACATAACTTTTTCTTTAGTACTTAAATCAATAACATCCAAAGTATGTACACCGGTTGTTGCCACAATAACTTGTTTATCATTATTACACGGAACACAACACACTATCTCACGATCCCTATCAAAATTGTCTAATACTTTGAGCACTTTGCCGCTGGGGTCATACAAAATTATCATTTTAGATGTATGAGTGATCAATGTTTCTTCGTTGTTGGCCCATCTACAGTTCAAAAATGGACCCAATTTAGGTGGAATATTGACTATATTTGCGTAATTATTGTTGTATGATTCTTCTGTTTCTGTAAACAAAAAAATATATAATTTATCACTGTTTTTAGTTGTTCTATTTAAAGTTTTTGTCAATTAGTGGAAAAAGATTTTATTAAAATCATTTCATTTCATAACCATCGTGGTTATTGTACAAAAATATGTCATGCACTATATTGTGACGGCAGCCATTTTGGATTCTTCAAAGCGTACTATATTCCGTTTAATAAGGTCCTTTCATTTGATTTCCTTACTTGGGGGTTATGAAAATATATAATTTAATAGTCAAAAATCCGAAAAGTCGTGGTATAAAAGATATTGCCTATGTTTATGCTAAAATGTACTTAAAATACTAAGTTTTTTATGGCAATTTATTCCATTGGATTGACAAGTCTCAAGCAACTGGGAACTATATTCATACTAGCTGTCTCTGTGATTGTTTGAGCGGAATTAAAAATCTTTATAGGCTGAGTTATTCCTATGTTCAGCGAGATCCCTTCTAGAGATAAGTAGTAACCATCATCTATACATCTAATTTTTATTAATTTAACTAACTTTCGCGTGGTACTACGTCCTCGTTGAGTTAATTAAAAATAAAAAAACAAATGTAAGTAGCCTATGTGTTCTTCCAGACTATGCTCTACATCTATGCCCAGTTTTATCCAGATCCGTTAAGCCGTTTAGGCTACAAATTCTAATAAACATCCATCCATCCATCGTAACTTTCGCATTTATAATATTTATATGAATTTTTTTTACTTAATATCGACTAACATAAAAGGATATACCTTCTTCAATAACATCATCAGTTTGGTCGTGTCCTATATCATCAATGTAGTATATGGTGATGTGTCCGCTGCAGTCGAGTGCGCACACCACGGGCGGGTTCACGGGACACGCGCCCACCCATCTGATAGCGTGCCCCCTGCCCGGCAACTCTTTCTCCAATATATTCGTTGATATGTTGAAAAACTGAAAGTTTTATAGGAAAATAATCTTTTTTGTTGTATTACCTGTTTGTGACATATTTTAAAGGTTTATTTCACTAGAGTATCTACATGCATATAGTTATGGGTTTAAGTAATTAAAACTCTTCGAATATCCAAAATGGTTTCATAGTTAATCTTCTACAAAATACAAGAAATTCTATTTATAGTCATCTACATTAAAATTATAAAGAGGAAAGATTTTTATTTTTATTGAAATAACTCAAACTACTGAGTCTATTTATAAAATTCTTTAACCATTTAAAAACTGCGTTATTAGTAACAAAGGCTATATGTATTTTATTATTTTAATTTAGATTAATTTCAAGCGAAGTCGCGAGCAACAGCTAGTAATTTTATATTACAACTAGCTTTAGGCCGCGACTCTGCGTAGAATTAAAAAAAAAAACAAAAGTAGCCTATGTGTTGAACCAGAACATGCTCTATATCTATACCAAATTTCATCGAGATTTGTTCAGCACTAGGCTACAAACATCCATACATCCATCCATCTAAACGTTGGTTTCTATTTATAATATTAGTATTGTTTTATACCTTAATAAGACCAGATTCAGTTCCAATCAGCACGTGGTCTCCGAGAAAACAGACCGCAGTTATGATCTCCGTCACGTCGATTGTTGTGTGCTTTATTTCTTCCACATTCTGCTCGTGTCTGTAAAATATAAACATTTTATTTTGAAAACGCCAATAAAAATGTTTAATTTCCACTCAGATGAGTTTTTACTATTACAACACTTGTATAATAACGATATTGCCATCCCTTTTACACAAATAAAGCGAAATATCCTTTTTTTGTAGTGAGTTTTAGCTTTATTTTTCTGTTTGCTGTTCTTGTTTTATGTAATTTTTTATCATAATGCTGTGTACCCATGATGATGTTAGTTATAGTTATTTTTTCTCAGAAAACTTTACTTGTTTCATGTGATGATAGTTTCGTAACAAATAAAATCGACATTTAGTTTAATTCTATAATTTTAAATATCCATTTCTCTTGTCTAAAAGAGGACTTCAAGCTGGAAAAGCTTACAAATTACTTACAAGAAGTCAAAATAAAGTTCGTTTTTAGCACATCTCTCCTGGGCTGTGGCGGATGCTTTCGTGTACAGGATGCCTTTATTCTCGTGCTGCAAGATGCTCTGCACGATGTCCGTGTATGGGTAGCGGTAGAGGTCAGTGCCGTGTGTGATCAAATACGCTTTGATACTGTACAGGAGCTCTTTGTCTAATGTCTGCAATGTCACCGAAAGATACTGAATGCTGACAATTTGTAATTTGCCTAGGTTTTAAAATTAGGTAATTAATACTAGGAATTACAAACACACAGCGAAATAAAAGGTTAAATACAAATTAGATTTGTTTCTAAACAAGATAAAAAATAATTTGGGTAAATCAAAATAAGTTTGAGGAACATTACTTTCATAAATAACTTACAATTAAAAATGTTTGAATTATTTTTCTATATTATGGAGTGATAAATATTATATACTCACATCTTCAGCGATATAAGTTTCATATTTCTGCAAATCTAGAATAACATCAGCGGATCCAGTCAATCTGACTTTATTGCCTAGAAATTTGAGATCTAGAAATAATTTATTAAACAAGCACCATTTATTTCCTAAATTCTTCGTTTTAAGTATATGATGTCCGATATAAAATGCTATATATCCATCATCTTCTATATCTAAAGGTGGGTTGGTAATATCATAATGGTAACTTTTTAAGAAATTCTCATGTAATTTTCTTACATCTTCTTCATCCCAACATGTTCTTAGATAATCCATAATAAATACATGAACTTCGTAGATATAATTGCGTTGTTCTCTATCGTAGAATTCTATTAATAATGATTTACTACGAAGTTGGGTTATAATAGATTCAACTTCTGTGAGTTCTCTGTTCCATAGTTTTGCGAGTACTTTGGCTGACACTTTCACATTGTCGGGTAACACTGTTAGTTTTTTAAACAGTCCTAATATATCTGGTTGTAGTAAATTTATACACACTTCGACTGTCCTTTGTGGATTTTCATGATGTCTTGTTAAACTGTAATTTTTGTGATAGTTAGGAATTTTTATACATTAATATATTTTACTAGCTGTTGCTAGCGACTTCCTCTACGTGTAATTAAAAATATTACTCACTGATAGCATAGCTTTATAATGGTGGAAGATTTTTTTAAATCGGCTTATTAGTTTTTAAGTTATTTCATTACATACAAAAATACAAATCTTTCCTCTTTATAATATTAGTATAGATTATGAGGTTTTTTTTACTAAAATAGTGCATATTTCTAACGGTTCAAAATACTACACGAAATTCACTGTTCAAACCAATGAAATAAAGATTTTTTAAATTTAATTTTTATATTAAGTACAGTCAGCTGCACAAATACGAACATAAAAGAAATTCTGTACACCTTTAGTTACACTAACTTTTTAATGTTTTAACTAAGCAATATACTCACAAAAAATAAGCTCTCTTCCCCAACTTATTTAGATAAGAATTCCTGTATTTATGATCGTGTTTGAATCGTTCTCTATTCTCGGAGAGCTGTGCTGCGATGAGCGCGATGTGGAAGGGGCTGCCGGCGCATATCTCGTACAACTTCCTCGCCTCGCGCGGCAACTGCGCCACCGGCTGCTCCAGACATAAGGAGAATAGTTCCAACGTTTCTTGCTCAGTGAAGTTGTTTTCCACCTGTAATATTATTCAATGTTAAGAAAATCAGTACTGGCTGGAGCATAGGTCCAACACTAGATGATTATAATGGAAAAAGTAAAATCTATATAAAGTAAGGAACTATTAATGTAGCACAAGGATTACGCAACAAAAAAAGATATAAACGGTGCAAAAAAGAGTACGGTCAAGAGTCTGTAGATGTTGATTAAAAAACCACTAAATTATTGGCTACGTCCCGTCACTATGACATCTGTCAATGTCATTTAGATAGAACAGCAATCCATTCTGGCGGGAGTTGATAGTCTGTTGTTAGAATTATATTCATGTTTAAAAATCTTACTAACATTATAAATGAGAAAGTATAGATGGATGTTTGTCAGAGTTTGTAGCCTAAACGGATGAACGGATCTCGATGAAATTTGGCATAGATGTAAAGTAGTTTAGAAGAAAGCTTTAAGATATTTTTAATTTTTTTTATTCCACCCAGACGGAGTCTGGAGGAAAGGCTTGTAATAAAAAAATCAAGAAAAAAATAAAATAGCCACTATTTTTTTAGTGTAAATGTTGCTGTGGGAAATTCAATAAGTTAACTTACCTTGACGATTTGCGCTTGAAAATTTGAAACAACGTCAGTATCTGGGGTCGTGATTAATATCTTGCATCCTATATCGAATGCTCTCAAGCATTTCTTCTCATTAACTTCATCTAGCACTAACAAGCATTCCTTCAAAGATTGGTTTTGGAACAGCGAGACAAGCCGGTCCTTCATATCTTCCCACGACCAGTCGTAGAAGGAATGGCTGTCTGCGTTCGAGCCCGTACTGGACATTGATATCGATGACGTCATGTACGAATTGTGATTCGACAATGAAGTCGCTTTACGATATAATCTGAAATCAGAACCAACACTTCTGTAACTTTATTGTTATTAAAAGGTGCCGGGGGCCTAATTTTAGTCCCTTTTCCTTTCCAACCTATTCTTAAGAGGAAAGGATGGATTTGACGGTGGAGGAGACGCATAGGAAGGGGAAATGTCGTCTTTATGTGCGTCTCCTCCGTCATTTAAGGGTAGGCAACGCATCTGCAATTTCGAATGTTTATGGGCAGCGGTCGCTTTCTATTTCGGTGGTTTCAGGTGGCCGCTTGGTCGTTTGCCACCTTATATTATAAAAAAAAAGATTATATAACATGCTAAATACTGTTAAACGTTGTATTTAAGTCACTACAAAAAGCTTTACATTGCATTTGTAACAAAAAATAATGATTACCTTGCTGATAAATATTTTACAACATACATTGAAAGGTATATGCGACAAAAAAAGAATAAAAATACATAATTAAATGACTCACTTATTCTGTAGCGCGGTGATATCATCCTCAGTTTTGCAGTTACCGAAGTTTAACCAGAAGACGACGCCGTTAAAGTTGTCGGTAATGAGATCAGGGTTGTTGCGGAGCACGCTGACCGCCACCGTGGTCTTCCCGCAGCCCGGCATACCGTGTAACGCTAGTATTTTGTGCCGTGTTAACAATTTTAATTTATTAGCCACCTCTTGCTCCTGTAATACGACATACAGATATTTTAATAATAGTGATAGTTTGAATGTTATTTAAAAACATTGTAATAGATCGGTAAACGCCGTCGCTCGATGAGTTTGTCGTCGAAAATAGGACATGCAAGTATCAAGGGGGCTTAACGTTTTGCAAACCCCTATAAAGGAAGTAAGGATCTCGATTTAAACTATAATCGGGTCGAAACAATTCATTTCGAACACCGCTTCAAAATTATATCATACAGAAAATTCACCAATAATGCTATAGGGCTTTTAATAACATAGTGTAAAACCAGAGTCTGTAAGATACTTACCACAGCATTTCTGCTGACGTAGTGATCGGGAAACCTGGGGACATCTCCTCTACTGAGTCCATCCTCGAAACTGCCGTTCAACATTGCCTCATTGGTTTCTTCAGTGAACTTCTTGTACAGCCACTGCCAGTCCTTAGCCAGGCTATCTACAAAGGCTTCGTAACTTCTGTTCGTACCATTCTGAAGTAGTGAGTCTATCAAGTATCTGGTACGGTCCGCGCGACTTGACTGAAATAAAAACAACTTTTATTATACTCTGATATTTAAACAGTAGAAGTTTCCACGACGTTAAAAGGCTACATATTATTTTATTATATTTCACACGAAGGTATCTACTTTTTCATTGGATAATTTTTCGTGTACCCTTTTTTACTCTTTACAGAGTTCCAATAATCCTGCATATATTATTTAATAGGTACGGTAGATTTTAGTCGTAAAAGACACAATAATAAATGTTATTTTTACTCATTAATAAAACAGATTATTAATATGTTTAGTTTCGCTTTCGTTATCAATTTATAACGGTAATGGGATGTTGCATGCATTTTAACATACTGTGATATGATAAGTACGTTAGAAGCGTGGGAATGCATTATTAATGTTAACACATTGAGAATTCATTAATTGAAAACTATTTCAAACAACAACATGAGGTAAGACCGACATGTTGCTAAGAACAAGTCCCAAAAATTTTCTATAGGTTAGGCTTGCTTTAAAAATCAATTTAATAAGTAAACCTAACTAAAAAAACAAGTCTTCGAAGTATTAAACTATTTTGTGCGCCGATCTTTTTTTTATGCGGGCCTGACTATGAGTAATGCATATCGAGCAATGCTGTTAATCATTTGAGAATAAAAGGTTTTCGAAGGTGTATGCTCCAAAAATCAGTTCCAGATGAGGGCAAATTTAATCAGTTTAATTAAATTCTATTAGTACGTATTAGCAATAGCGATACACGTTTATTAGCAAAAGTGAATACAAAGTTAATATATTCAATACTTCGTATTGCATCCAATTTTACTAGAATCTTTCAAAATTAGAACATACTTGTCACCCTAGTATCATAGTATTTACGTTTTAGGGCGCAATGTGCAGCTTATGTTAAAATATGAAAACATAGCTTCTGCCCGCGACTCCTTCCACGTGAAATAAAAAAAACAAAAGCAAGTCGCCTATATGTTCTTCCAGACTATCCTCTACATCTTTGCCAAATGTCATCAAGATCCGTTTAGTGGTTTAGACTACAGACTCTAACAAACATCCATTCATCTAAAGTTTCGCATTTATAATATTAGTAAGATTAAATTGGAACAGGGTCGCTTACCAACTTGTAGATATTATCGAAGTCCTCGTTGGAGATGGCGTCCTTCGTGAACAGCTCATCGAGGATGTAAGTGACGTCGAGGTCCCTCACCACATCCTGCTGGTGGTGTTGCAGCAGCACCCGGTACTTGTTGTCCATGACCGTTGCTTTTCATACATCTGGAAGATGATAGAAATCGTTAAGTTGAAACCTTCTTTCTGGAAGTTACAAGAACTGATGAACGTGAGAATTAACACAGTTGAAGTTTATGTGGAGACGAACTAAAGATAAAGCGAAAAAGATTTCTTTTTAAATCTTTGATTTTAAGGTCTATTTTAACCTCGGGCCTTCTAGAAATTTCCTTTTACACTAGTAGAACACTAGTACAAATATATTGTTGTGTTTTTTTAAATAAGACTTTTTTGTTCGAGTTTCAATAGTGGAAACTCACGACAAGATTGGTGAACTTATAAAGCTTGGCTATTAGTGGTCATAATAATTGTAAATACATACGTTTTGTTTGTTTTTGTCACGGCGTTATACAATGCGTATGTAATTCACCCAATGTCTCTAAATATCGTAATAAAGTGTTCGTAACTATTTTATACTGATGAAGTAGATATGAAACATAAATGGCGCACAAAGATCTAAAGACTCAAGTAACCACTTTTTACATTCACATGACACTATTCCTGTTAACAGTTTTACACATTTCCTTTCCCAGTCAATAATTGTTAATAAATCACGAATTATCCTAGAACACAGATATCTAAACCGGTAATGTTTTCACGTAAATCGTATTAACGAAATTAAAATCTCTAAATAATTCTTACATAACAAATTAAATCATAACTCCGACGAAACCGGTAATTATTAACGCGTCCGAAACTATTGAAGTACAAAATTCTAATGAAAAAAAAACCTCTACATAGTGATCACTTAGCATACGACCTTGTCGATTAGAGCGCCACCTACACGGCAATAAGATACACAAACAACCAAAATCAAAAGGATAAATTGTATGCCAATGACCGCTCTATGATTGCCAAGGCCATGATGACTTAGATATGAGGCAAAATACTCAATTTAAACGTATCTTACTAATGTTGAGGCTTATGTATACTATCCCATAGTTTTACAACATGGGTTGACAATCTTCATTACTTTCTTAGTCTTAAATTAATAAGGGATAGCTTTGTATGTCTCATGATTCATCATTTCATTAAATCATTGGAAAAAATCAAATATGAATGAATGGATATATATTATGTGCTAAACCAAACCAAACTGACTGAAATATTGGGAAATAATGCATTGGATACTTTCTTTTTAAGATTGACAAAGCAGATAATGCTACCAAAAGTTTACAAAAATGGAAATAGAACATTGTTGTTGTGCAAAAATTATATTGGAACTTAAACAGCTGTAACTTTAATGAGAGAAGAAAATAAACTAAAAAGCACCAATCATTAAAACCACTTTAGCAGTTTAGCACAAAAAAATGTATATGCACATAATACCTATCATAGAAATAAACTTAATAGCGGTTTCAACAGTGGCCAGCTTATTAGTTAAAGAGCTAAATTTGAATATTACGGTAATTAAAAAACTGAGAGCCTGACAACTTAATTGAAACCTGCTTCTTCAGTAAACTTACATAACACTAAAAAAGATAGGAGACAAAAATAAATTTCATACTTAATAAACATTAATGTGAACAATGTGCTTGGTTTTTCTTGGAAAGTTTTTTTCTGTCCAAGTTTTATCTGTAAACAGTTTTTAAAACTACAAGCTAATGTAAGTAACGTTTAAATTTTGAAAAGTTAGAGTAAAACACAGTAATTTTTAATGAGCCTAAGAGCCACATTTTTCTGAATCCGCAATTCGCTGATCTCTTATATAGAATAACTAGCTATTCCTTGCATCTCCGTCTACATGAAATTAAAAAGTACTTAATACACAGTCTATTTTACACAATTTTTTAAATTGGCCCAGTTGTTTTTGAGTTATTTCAATAAATCCAAAAACACAAATCATTCCTCTTTATAATATCTGTATAGACAGTATAGATAACATAACAAAGCACTTACAGTGCATGGTAATTACCATTGTAATAAGATTAGCAATTTTCCTATGATATACTTTGATCTTGACACTAATATACTTTTGGTAATATGTCAAGGTCAACTTACCTACTAATGAACTAGCAATTGGGGACATGCAGTGGTAGTTGCGGTCAGATAGATAATACTGATAATGACCACTTTTAAATAAATAAAACAAAACGATGAAATTTCATTCAAACCGCAGATGTTTATTTCTTTGTTTATGGGTTCTAATGTAATCTTTAAAATTCAATATTGATAACAAAATGGGAGAAAAAACGTTTATTAAGTGATTACTACTGTTTGTGATCAAAGATTTTGGATATTAATGAATTAACATGTTAGATATAGTAAAGTTAGGCCTCTCGGGGTGAACCGCAATACAATCAAAGTTGCTGGATTGTCCTGGATGTTTGCGCCATGGGTCAATATATTGATGAATTATTTATGGGGATCATGTCTTGCATTATTTTAAGTTGAAGATAGCAATGTAGTAAGTTATCATTGCTCAGTTTAATGAAACTGAATCCTTTCTCCATAACTTGTAGACAAAGTAAGAATATCTCTATGAAATTGTTGCATCATACAAAAGACAGATGAATTTGGATCAAAGAGCAAAGAAAAGCAAAATGCTTTAGCACTACCTCAACTAACTTGCCTTATTTATGCAATGGGTATAATTGTTTAGAAGTTAAATCTTATTTTGCTATTGCAAATGAATATCTAATTCATTAAAAAAGCTTTTAAAATCTTATTCTAGCTTAAATTGAATTTATTACCAAACAATTGTATTGGATGAGATATTAAGGCACTATATCATAATAGTATTGATTATTTCTTTTCTGGATGTCGTGTAAATCTATTGTATGTCATGTCGTGTCATGAAGCGAAGTATAAACTACTGGCTAACATATTTATTTCATTGTTTTTAACATTTATCTATGAAATAGACCTTTATCATTGTCAGTTTCTTACATGAAACATAGGTTTTCATAGAACAATGTTTAACACAAGTTTTAAATCAAACCAAAATGTATCCGATACTGGACAAATTCAACTCACCCCTTTCAGGAACTAATATAGTTTGATAATAGTCATGGAATTGTAATAGTTTAGAGTATTTGATTGTTATTTTGTTAACAATAAAGGGATACGAATTTACTAAAACACTAAAAACTAAAGAAAATAGCACGCACTACACATCCGCACGTTCATTACAGCGACAAAAAACTACATTTGTTTGTTTGATGCATTTTGATGCAATAGAAGTGCAGCAGTCATTTGCTGTCAAAGTGAAGTTCTTGATTGGTTGATATTAAAAATTAAAACAATCCTTTCAATTTCATTGGCTGACGTTTAGCCTAACTATATAAACTCGCATTAGCTTGTACTCGAAGATTACTCGATATAATGTCACCATTTGAAGTTACTATAAGATATCCATAAAAGATTGTCAATATACAATCGAGTTTAAAGTGAGTTGCAATACAATGGTTAGGGAATAACAGCCATAGATTATCAAACCATAGAGAATAGTTGTGATCACAGACGCAATGAAAAGGATTTTATTTTAAACATCGAAATTAAGTCTTTTTTTATTAGAATACTTTGATATTACGTGTATATGGCAAATTTTCCAAATGCTAGATATTTTCTATAACTTTGTAATACCTATTTTTTAGATATTAATATGTAGGTACTTGGAAATTTAAACATTGAAGTTTTAAACATGTGCAGTGCAAGATGCGAGGAAGTTTCATTTCCTAAAAATGTTTACATTATAATTAGGCATTTCCTATTATATTCCAATAACCGTGTAAATTGTGTAAACAAACAATAAATTCCCTATGTGACTATCGCTGTAATATTATTCAAACCCGCAATGGTCCCATTGCGCAGCAGAAAATGGCAGGCGCTTTCATTCTGTAAGTTGTTCACAAATCACAAATACAACTTTATTTGCTATGTATCATACTTCTTACTAATATTATACATGGAAAGGTTTAGATGGATGGATGTTTGTTAAAATTTCAAACAAAAACTGCAGAACATTCGATAAACTTTGGCACAGATGTACAGGGCAGTATGGAAGAACACATAACCTACATTAAATTGGATATAGTTCATCCCCAAAAAGTCAGTTTCCCTAAGGATTCGAAGTTTAATGTAATTTATTTTACTCGATAAGTCCGTAATGGCTTAATACAACCCATTGAGATTTGGCATTGATATAGTATTGTACTTTATCATCTTCCTCCTTATTAAAATCGCGGAAAATCGGCGTAACAGGTCGGTGTCCTCCAGTACACTATCATACGACATCTCAGTCATCACTCCCTTCTTGATCATGTCACTTACATATGTATAGTACGGTGTATCTTATTATTGTACTTCTTATGTTTTTTAATAGTGCACGGACAATGTCATGCGCTACAGCTAAGTAATACATCGAAATGAAGATTAAATTCAATTGCTTTTAAAATAATCCTTTAGTTGAATTTTTGTTAATTTTTTTGTAACAGAAACTGCTGGACCGGGAACGTTGGCGATCTCTTGTGTTGGAAGCCAGAGCCGAGTTACTTTGAGACGCTGCGCCAGCGCAGTAAGTATGAAAAAATATTTAATTAACAATTGAAAGTTTTATAATCATTTAGAAGGTGTACATCATCACCAACTCATTATACGTCCCCATTGAGGGGTTCGGAGCCTAACCTAAGTTAGGGTGACTAGGCCATAGTCAATCACTCTGGCCCCGTGTGGGTTGGCTGACTACACACGTATCTTTGAATTTCTACTTCTTGTGAAAGGCTTACACTCGGTATTAATTGCAAGAAAAACAGTTTGCAATGTTTAGATCCCTCCCTGATTAAGCAATATAACGAAATTGAAAGTTTTCTAGTGAAAGTTAAAATATTGGCGGATTATTTACTTTTGTCGATATTATTTTCTTTAAAATAACATTATTTTTATAGAATTTAAGGCATTTCTAATAAATGTAAACTTCCTCAAAAGTCAAGTTAGGATTTTTTCTGTATTTTTTTCTAAACCAGGTGTTGCTTTAACACAATTTTAAGTCAGCCTAAGACGACCCACAAAGGGGACCACACAACACAATGAGAACCATTTACCGTCAAAACCATTGCTTTTGTGATTGTCAAAACAAGATCGGTTACAATAAATCTTATTAAAGATTTGGCCACACTCGCGCTATTCACAAGCTTCTTTAATCGGAGGCCGAATAATACTTGTTTACAGTAACCACGTATATTGCAATATCTTTTGTTGAACTGTGCATCTGCCTTACCTGAATAGGTGACCTACTATTTGTCCTGGTTTACTCGTACAAAGACAGTTTTACTTCAGAAATGGATACATATAGTTTTATGTATTCAATTGTAATTTGATTAAAAAATTTATATTATAAATGTTGATTTAGCCAAGTTCATTTGTCTTTTTACATTATATCTTTTCTTAAATTAATTGTTAAAAATCTTTTACAAGAAGCCGGGTAAACTTTTCCTAATACTTTCCAACAATTTTCACTAATAATTCAAACAAATGAAGTCAGTAGCGTAGAGCAGTCGATTGAAAAAATTCTTAAGATACTTTTTTTTATTGAAAAGTTTTAAATCTTCGTTCGTTCGGAAAAATAAACCTTTGAAAATATTCAAGGCAATTAATGAATTTTTGAGTTTGCAAAGTTTTATAACTTTACAAATAGCGAAGCAAGCGTAGATAAGACTTTAAAGG